AAAGCAAATTTAATGCTTGACATTAAATTTATATTTATGGCATACAAGGTCAATGTGTTCATTGACCCAAAAATCAAGTAATTGATCCAATACAATGGGAGATAAATGAACAACTCCTGCGCTAAACAATGTTAATTCTTCTACCAAAATGTAATAACACTGCTTTTACTAATTTGTCAGCCAGGTTAATTTAAAATTATTATCATATCTATAGTCCATCATTTGATGATAATCATATGAAAATGAATTATTGTTGATTTTAACAAATATACCAAACCAAATTTTTTCCTACTTTGAGCAGAAAAAATGTATAATATAATTTCTCCTTTTCTTGTTTTTCAACAATCCTCATCTTTATGGGCCTGGTTAAATCAATACATGCTAAGTAGTTGCGAGCCTTTAGCCCGGATGTTTTAAAAATAAAAACCCTATTTGAAAAAAAACATTTTCTAAGTATAGGCTATTTTTTTAAAGTTTGAAACAAAAAATTTTAAACCAAAACTGATCTGGGAAATGTACGATTTAAATAATCTAGGGTGTAGGGTTTTTTAAAAAACTAAATTAAAAAAGTCTCTTTTGTAATAATTTTTGACAGCAAAAAAACTGATTATCCTTTAAAATCAATATATCAATTTTTATAAATACCTATACCAATTTTAAAATTTATAGAATTTATTTAAAAATACTGTTAAAAATTTATTTATCTAATTTCAAGTTTAATTTTTTGAACAAAAAAATATTTCGGTAGGAAATCTCTTAGCCAGTAATGAGAATATGTTTATTGAATGATTCTAAATCCCCAGTTTGACTGAAAAAAAAGTTATCATGAAAGATTAGGTTAAAATCCACCATAAAAAGTATAAAAATGTAAAAAATATAAAATGTAATGAATACATGAAATATGGAAATGGGTAATAAATTAATATGTTTGTATAGATTTTCTGCTCTTCAGTACAATGATGGAATTTAGTATTATTTTAACTGTCTTCAATCATATTCTGGTGGGCAGGTACATATCAATTGTCACTTGATTTAGAATGAATATCTAGAGTTTTCTTTTTTCAAATAATGTAAACTTAAAACATGAACAATTTGACACATTTAAAGTAACAAAAGGAAGAATGGGGTTTTGCTGTTGTTAACAAATGTCATTCAATGTTACTTTCAATAAGAGATAAAGTAATGAGATTGAGGTCTGTTACCTACTTTGAGTCAGTATTATGAAAAAAAAGGCAAGACTTTAACCATATCAAATCATGCAAAATTAAAATAATTTACTCATAATAGAAGAGATTTAAAGGTTACATGATTCAAAAAATATGTCAATACATGTGTAATTCTAAAAATTTTGTTAATACATTTAGATTTATTTTCCCGGAAAATTTTTATAGTATCCAAGTTTGCAAAAAATTTTTTTCTAAAAAAGCTTTTTAAGAGCTAAATGCGAAAACTCCCAGGTTAAGCCCTTTGCTGTCTTTCCCCCTTTGCAATGTTCGTGATAACCAAAAATGCCCACTCATTATTGACCCCAAAGATGGAGAAACCTCGCCCTTTACCCCAAAGAAAAATTTTTTGTACAATGTTTGTTTGAAAGGGTAAAAAGGAAAAAAGACTGAATCCCTTTTAACTTTTTCAAACAGTAAATTTCTGTTTTCCCCAAAAAACATTTTTTGGGTTTATTACAAGAAAAACCGCTAGGCTGGAGCATAAATATTTTGTCGAAAGTGTTTTTTTTAAGTAAGGATGAAGCATTTATTAGACATGGCGAATTAGCTGTTCATCACCTATAAAATTTACAGATGTAGGTTGATTAATACTTAAGTTATTAATTAATGACCTTAAACCTTTGACCTTGTGACCCTAAAATCAATAGGGGTCTTCTGACCTTTATATGGACAATCATCCTAAGGAGTTATGAATATTTGTGGGCCATATGGAACTTTAGTTTATATACTCCGGAAACTGTTTTTCAATTTTAAGGTTATAGTGACCTTGAACTTTTGACCTTTTGATCCCCAAAATCAATAGGGCTCTTCTACCCAATATGGAACAATAATCCTATGAAGTTTGAATATTGTGGCCAAATGGAACTTAAGTTATGCTCCGGAAACTGATTTCAGTATCCAAGGTAATAGTGACCTTGACCTTTTGACCCCAAAATCATAGGGGTCTTCTACCCAATATGGGACAATCAACCTACATGAAGTTTGAAACATTGTAAGGCCAAATTTGGAAAAAAACTTAAGTTTTATGCTCCCCCTGGAAACCAAATTGCTAATGGCACAAATTGCTAAGTGACGGAAACTGTTTCAGTATCAAAAGGTAATAGGTGACTTTGACCTTTTGACCCCAAAAATCAAATAGGGGTCTTCTACCCAATATGACAATCATCCTATGAAGTTTGAACATTGTGCGGGTCAAATGGAACTTAAGTTATGCTCCGGAAACTGTTTTCAGTTTTTTAAGATAATAGTGACCTTTGACCTTTGACCTTTGACCCAAAAAAATCAAAATTGGGGTTCTTTTACCCAATATCGGGACAATCATCCTATTGAAGTTTTGAAACATTTTGTGGGCCAAAATGAACTTAATAGTTAAAATCCTCCGGAAACCCAAATTGCTATAAACGGAAACAAATTCAACGGACAGAAAATGATTTTTTTTTTCCAGTATCAAAAAGCGTAATAGTGCCTTGGAAACCTATTTGACACCTTTTGACCCCAAAATCAATAATGGGGTTCTTTCTACCCAATAATGGACAATAATCCTATGAAGTATTGAACATTGTGGGTCCAAATGGAACTTTAAGTTATGCTCCGGAAACTGTTTTTCAACAGTTTTAAGGTAATAGTGGACCTTCACCTTTGACCTATTTTGGACCCCATAAATCAATTTAAGGGTCTTCTGCCCCAATATGAAGACAATCCATCCTATGAATTTTCGAACATTGTGGGCCAAATGGAACTTAAGTTATGCTCCGGAAACCAAATTGCTAACGGACAAATTGCCAACGGACGGAAACTTGTTTTCAGTATCAAGGAAAAAGTGACCTTGACCTTTGACCTTTTGACCCCCAAATCCCAATAGGGTCTTTTACCCAATATGGACAATCATTCCTATTAAGTTTGAACATTGTGGGTCAAATGGAACTTAAGTTATCCTCCGGAACTGTTTTCAGTTTTAAGGTAATAGTCGGACCTTCACCTTTGACCTTGTGACCCCAAAAATCAATAGGGTCTTCTACCCAATATGGACAATCATCCTATGAATTTTGAACATTGAGTGCCAAATGGAACTTAAGTTATGCTCCGGAAACCAAATTGCTAACGGACAAATTGCTAACGGCAACGGAAAACTGTTTTCAGTTTTGAAAAGGCAATAGTGACCTTGACCTTTTGAAACCCCCAAATCAATAGGGGTCTTCTACCCAATATGGACAATTATCCTATGAAGTTTTAACATTGTGGGCCAAATGGAACTTAAGTTATGCTCCGGAAACCAAAAATTGCTAACGGACAAATTGCTAACGGACGGACGGACACCGGGGGTATAACATAATATGCCCTTTCGGGCATATAATAATTATAATGTTTCCAAATCTGCTTGTATAAATATAATTATTGTCGATGGTATTATTATCTCTTATATTTATTATTATGATTATTATTATTTATTATTATTATTATTATAGAAACGGCAAAAGCCGTCCATATGGCAGTGAAAGGGTTAAGCAAACCAATTTTTAATCATTCGTTTTGCAAAAAATAACACCTGGAAAAATTAAAATTTCACCTGTTTGAAACAATCTTCAATACAAATAAGTAAAACCCCTTATTGATTGTTGTTAACAATCTTAAACCTACCAAAAGTTTATCCTCATACTCCACCAGCCTCTTGACAAACAATACCAGAATTGATTAATGAACATGGGGTACCCATGGTCTCAGTTCCTTGTTCTTACTTTCCGCTCCCAACCTAAAATTAGTCAGCAATTCTTGTATACATGTGTCACCTTTTTCAAACTAAAGATGATTGAAAAACTTTTGATTTCTTGTATACATCAACTGGAAGTTTCTAACCATAGGCTTATAGTTAATATTATAATACTGCACTTTGTCGCTTTTTCAAATTGTATAATAATTTGACGCTTTATATAGGGTTTAAAATATACACGGCTGGCTGTTGATTTAAAAATAAAGAAATAATCACTTTACCCCCCCCTACAAAAAAGGGCTTTATTTTTAATTTGATATAAATTTTCCTGACGGGTTTTTGGGCCGTTTACAAAGGGTTTGTTTGCAATAAAACCCCTTTATTACCCGGGTTTTGGGTTATATTTACAAACTTTCCAAATTAAAACAGGGGGAAATAACCCGCCCAAAAAAACCAAAAACAAAATACAGGACCCATTTTTGGGGAAGAATATTTAAATAAAATTAGAGGCACAAACTCTAAAAAATCATATTATCACTTCAAGAATTTTTTTTAAAATTTTAAACCTTTTAACAAATAAATTTGGGGTTAAAAAGGGGTCCCAAGTTAAAATTTTTTTAAAACACCTGGTTCTGAATATTTTGGCATTACATCTTTTAAAAACTATAACCCCTTTTTTTTGCATTTTACAATAAAAACAAAAAAAATTGTTTCTTTTAAAAAATAAGGTATTCAAGCATGTAAAAAATGAAAATTTTTAAAACCATTAAATAAACATCAATAGCAATCTCTTACTGCTGCTAGTCTTTTGCCAAAGTTCTTTTGCTCCGTCCCATACGTCAAATGAGTGCTTCTATATCTGGATATTCTTTTCCTGCAATGGGAATCACACAAATGTATGACTACTGTATAACATTTAGTCTTATGCATATTTACAAAGTGTACAAAATACACTGAGAAAAAAAAATTGAAAAACAATTTACCCCCCCCCCCAAAAAAAAAACAGCCAATAAATATCATTGACATTTGGCAGCAAAGCATTTAAAAATCATTATCAGAGAATTAAGTTAAATAAATTCTCCACCAATCATTGAGGCAATAGGTGTGCTTGCATCAGTACAGAGCTCTTGTATGGTTATTCCACTATCAGACAATTTCTTTAAACAACGCTTCAGTCCTTCTTTTTCCATAGCGGTTGACTTCATGTCTGTTTCTCTTTTATCCACTATCTCACAGGCAAGTATGTCCTTGTTCTCATATTCCATTATGGTGTATGTACAATACTGGGCTGAATGTCCTGGTGAGTCCATACGGCCACCACCTACAATTGTAACAAAATATAAATTTATAGAAGACTTTTGTTTTTCCCAAATAAGCTAAAGGTAAATGTCTGCTGAATAGGGTTACTGCTATGTTAAATGTTTACATACAGATTCAGAATGTTGTAATACAATATTGCTTTCATAAAATGGTTCCAACATATATTGTATTTGCAAATCTTATTTACTGTAATGACACAAGGACTGGATTTTACTACTAATTTAAAAGACATATTTAGCAACAGTAAGAATGTATCACCTGCAATTAACTATGTTCTTCCCAACATACTTTTCTATATTTGGCCTTCATGAGTCTCTCAAATTCCTCCTTAATGACCGGAATAGCATGTTTAGACTGGATTTGATAGTGCGTTGGAGAAGCAGTTATTCCTAATCTCAGGAAACTATGCATCAAGACGTACTTTTTCATAATTGTTTCCGCTACACAGTAATGCTGCGGACAATAGTAAGTCACCTGCAGGCTTCTTTTTCAGCAATGGCTGAGAATTCCATCTTCTTATAATGTGTCCCTTTTCGCATTTCTACAATTATAAAAAAAGCAGATTTATATGATGATATACAATACGATAATATTCAATGAATTATACTTCTTATTACACATTTTTACAAAAAATTGCCTTCCTTATGTTGATAACAATCAAATGATTGAAAACTTGCTATAAGAAAGAAATTGAATAGCTGACATATGCACATACTTTGGTAAACAAAATAAAATATCAAAACTTCAAACTTATCAAAGCATAACAAAATATAACGTTAAATTCTTACATTGTATTGTGTGAGTGTTAAGACTAATAAAAACATTACACGCTGCTAAGCTTTAAATACATTTTTTACATACCAGTTAGTTGCCTGCTAAAGAAATTGTTAAAAATTGTAGCAAATATCTTGAAAAAAGAGCGATCAGTAATCACATGTGTCGCCTCATGATGGCCAATTTCATGTTGGGACAAATTTTGTGACAGACGGACAGACAGACGGACAGTGCACAACTAGACTAACCACTTTGTACTGATCATTCCTGTAAAGTTTGGATAAAATTGCACCAGTAGTTTATGAGGAGTAGTCCGGACAAGCTTTTGCGTATCTGGCAACACACAGAAAAAAACACCTTTTTATCAAAGGGCCATAACTCGGCCAAAAATCATTCAACCGGAAAACCCGTGCAATATGCGCAAGGACTTGAGCTACAGATCAATCCTGTAAAGTTTCATTGAAATTGCATAAGTGGTATAAGAGAAGTAGTCTGGACAAACTTTAAAAATAAAATTTTTTAAAGGGCCATAACTCAAACAAAAATCATTGAACCGGAAAATGCTGACAATATGCACAACTAGACTTGGTACTGATCATTCGTGTAAAGTTTGGATGAAATTGCACCAGTAGTTTATGAGGAGTAGTCCGGACAAGCTTTTGTGTATCTGGCAACACACAGAAAAAGAAACCTTTTTATCAAAGGGCCATAACTCGGCCAAAAATCATTCAACCGGAAAACCCGTGCAATATGCGCAAGGACTTGAGCTACAGATCAATCCTGTAAAGTTTCATTGAAATTGCATTAGTGGTATAAGAGAAGTAGTCCGGACAAACTTTAAAATTAAAAATTATTAAAGGGCCATAACTCTGACAAAAATCATTGAACCGGAAAATCCTGACAATATGCACAACTAGACTTGGTACTGATCATTCTTGTAAAGTTTGGATGAAATTGCACCAGTAGTTTATGAGGAGTAGTCCGGACAAGTTTTGTGACGGACGGACGGACAGACGGACAGACAGACAGACAGACAGACGGACAGACGGACAGACAGACGACGGAGAAGTGATCCCTATATGTCGCCACTACTCCGTAGAGGCGACACAAAAAGAGATAAGCTGATTTTACTTAGTCTTGGATAAGAAATGCAACAGACATGAAAACATTCTTCAAAAACATTTAATGATCATTACCCATGTCATTCGAAAGCAGGAGCCAATCATACGTGTGTCCAAACCAACTATTTTGTCACATTTTTTACGGTTGCATTCACTACTTATATGAATACTGGCCAATTCCATCAGGTTCTTTTCAAAGCATATTGCTTTTCTCTCTGTGACAATATCTCTTTCCTCTGTCTCTGTATCCTCGGTGTCCTCATCTGTTTCTTCATCCTGCACTACAAAGTCATCTTCTATATCTAAAATTGCATCAGCTACAGCACACACTGGCACATCATCACTTACTCTATTGTCATCCCTGTAGCATTAAAAGTGAACTACATTAAAGACAACTAACAATGGTTTAGTTTTCCATCATTATTAAATTCATGTTAAAAAGAAACTTACATTTATTGAATTTAAATACACTAACATTTAAACTGCTACCATACAAAATGGTGGTTTTTAAAGCCTAGTGGACTTAACTAAAGCTATCACTAAAGGTCCCACCAGCATTTTTGACTTTTTGAAAAATGAGTGGTCTGAATAAAAATTTTAACTCAACCTGTACATTATTAAGTAACAACCCAGTTACTGTGTACAAAGAATTATTACAATTAATTGCAATCCCAACCAGATCTTTACTTCAAGTTGCTTTAAAACTAAATTTAAGTATTACATCTCATTTCTAACTTTAGTTATTGTCCTGAAACCATTTTTCTATTTATATTAATGGTGACCTTGACCCCAAGGGGGTCCAAATGCAATACCAATCAGGGTTTCCACATAAGGTTGCTATATACCAAGTTTGATTACAATACCTCGTTCCAAACTCTAGTTAGCGTCCGAAAAGCATGAAATGGATGGACAGACAGACGGAAGGACCGAATATCTGACTCCTTTATAACCCCTGCACTTTTTTAATTGGAGGTATAATAACTTCCACTAGGCTGTTGGCAAACATGTGTGTGTATGTATGAGACTTTTCACTGTCACTAATCACCTCATTTTAAAATGCCAATACTGTATTCATGAACATATTTTTTTCCAATTGAGCATTCTAAATTCATAAATGGAGCAAACATCTAGCTAAACAAGAGGGCCATGATGGCCCTGAGGTCGCTCACCTGTATATAGGCCCCCCCCACACCTCCGGGCTAATTTTTACCCAAGGGCTTTTATTTGTTTATTTGAACAGACTTGGTAGACACCCATAAGAAGATGTTTCATGCTAAACATCTAAGTCCTAGCTCATTGGGTTTTTTAAAAGAAGATTTTTAAAGTTTTTACTATACACATATAGTTAAAAACAATGACACCCCTGGGGCAGGGCCAGTTTTGACCCCCGGGCTTTTATTTGAACAAACTTTGTAGATATTTACTTAAAGATGTTTCATGCTTAATATCTAAACTCTAGCTATTTGGGTTTTTTCAAAGAAGATTTTTAAGTTTTTGCTATACACATATAAGGAAAATCAATGACCCCCCCCCCGGGCGGGGCCAGTTTTGACCCAGGGCTTTTATTTGAACATACTTGGTAGACACCCATTAGAACATGTTTCATGATAAATATGTTAGCTCTAGCTCTTTGAGTTCTTTAAAAGAAGATTTTTTAAGTTTTTACTATATGCATATAGGGAAAATCAATGACCCCCTGGGGCGGGGCCAATTTTGACCCCAGGGCTTTTATTTGAACAAACTTGGTAGACACTCATTAGAAGATGTTTCATGCTAAATATCTTAGCTCTAGCTCTTTGGGTTCTTTAAAAGAAGAAATTTTAAGTTTTTACTATATGCATGTAGGGAAAATCTATGACCCCCTGGGGCGGGGTCAATTTTGACCCCAGGGCTTTTATTTGAACAAACTTGGTAGACATGCACTAGAAGATGTTTCATGCCAAATATCTAAGCTCTAGCTCTTAAGGTTCTTTAAAAGAAGATTTTTTAAGTTTTTACTATATGCATTTAGGGAAAATCGATGACCCCCCGGGGTGGGGCCAATTTTGACCACAGGGCTTTAATTTGAACAAACTTGGTAGACACTCACTAGAAGATGTTTCATGCTTAATATCTTAGCTCTAGCTCTTTGGGTTCTTTAAAAAGAAGATTTTTAAGTTTTTACTATATGCATATAGGGAAAATCAATGACCCCCTGGGGCGGGGCCAATTTTGACCCCAGGGCTTTTATTTGAACAAACTTGGTAGACACTCACTAGAAGACGTTTCATGCTTAATATCTTAGCTCTAGCTCTTAAGGTTCTTTAAAAGAAGATTTTTAAGTTTTTACTATATGCATATAGGGAAAATCAATGACCCCCCGGGGCGGGGCCAATTTTGACCCCAGGGCTTTTATTTGAACAAACTTGGTAGACACTCACTAGAATATGTTTCATGCTAAATATCTAAGCTCTAGCTCTTTGGGTTCTTTAAAAGAAGAATTTTTAAGTTTTTACTATATGCATATAGGGAAAATCAATGACCCCCTGGGGCGGGGCCAATTTTGACCCCAGGGCTTTTATTTGAACAAACTTGGTAGACACTCACTAGAAGATGTTTCATGCCAAATATCTAAGCTCTAGCTCTTAGGGTTGTTTAAAAGAAGATATTTAAAGATTTTTCTTTCGGTTGCCATGGCAACCAGAGTTCTGCATGGAATTAAATTCTTTGAACAATTTTTAAAGGTGACCACCAAAGGAACATTCCTGTGAAGTTTGGATGAAATTGGCTCAGTGGTTTATGAGGAGATGTCATTTAAAGCAAAAGTTTACGGACGGACGACGGACGGACGGACGGACGCCGGACGAAAAGCGATCACAAAAGCTCACCCTGTCACTTTGTGACAGGTGAGCTAATAAAAGCTGTCATGAGCACTGGTTGACAGTATTTTAATCTGTAGACAAGAGCTTAACCATTATAGTTACGACATCAATAACTAATATGGACACAACAACCCTGCATGTGAAAATTAATCAGCAACATAAATTTCAAAGAACTACATATATGTTATTAACTTTTTACCTTAAAGACATTTCAAGCAAATAATCTTCATCCTCATCAGTCTTGCTATCTTCAGAATATGCCTCTTCTTCTTCACTCATAGTTGGATGGTAGCTTACATCTTTTTCAGCAGGCATCAACTCTAATGTAATACTGAAGTGACATATACAGTTTATAGTGAATACCTTCAGTAATTTTAAAGATTGATTTATTTACATGCTAAACTTTACTGAAGATTTTTTTAAGTTCAAAAATGGTTAAAATTCAGTCAAAATCCATATCAGAATTATGGACCTTGGAACAGTGACCTGCATTGTGGCCCTAAGGACATGTATCAATGTTAAAGTGAAAGCCTTCAGTAGTTTTCAAGATTTCTTTTGTTCAATAAGGGCAGTAATTCAGTCAAAATATAAAATAGAGTTATTTGCCTTGGATAGTGTCTTCCAATTACAATGTCAATCCCAAAGACTTGTATTAGTTCCAAAAGGAAATGTTATTATGTAAAGATACTAAGAGAATATGTGCTTTCATACACACCAAAATGTCCTCATAATTTTGTAAAAGAAATAGCATTTTTAAATTAACTAAAATTGACACTTATTATTGAACAGGGTGATCTTAACTTCAAAGGGTCAAACACCTTTTCATCTGTTATGAATGGCAAATTAAGTGAATGTTAACAATTATTTGTGTACATTCTTAGTCTAATTAATTGAGATTCTGCAGTTGTAAACTTAAACACATGAAACAAGTTTCAGATAATTCCTTAAATTGTCCTAAAATATAATAAGCAAGTGTACACAATGTTTCACTGTAGCAGAAATTAATAAATCAGAAAACTGAAGTAAATGCCACTGAGTTCAGTCACCAGCATCCTTTATACTTAGCTAAATGTATAGTCAAGGCCATCCTTAAAACAAGAGCTGTCCGTAAGACAGCGCGCTCGACTTTTTTATTGCTTGCCAATAAAAAAAGTTTTTGCAGTAAAAGGCAATACAAGAATCTCTGTATTTTTAAAGTGAACAATGGCCATGAGCATTAAGATATTTAGTGAAATTAATATCTCAAACAGTTCAGTCAAAAAGTGGACTGGTACTAAAAACTTAACCAAAGATTGTAAGTCGATAAAAGGCCTTAATTTTTAAAACAAATCCTTGACAGAGTTACCTTCTCTTGCGTACAGATGGGGGTAATGATGTGAAATAGCATTAAAAGTTTCAAAGCAATATCTCAAAGGGTTAAGGCAATAAGTGGATTTTACCCATATTCAATGTATTTTCTAAGTCAAAAAGGGGCATAATTCTGTCAAAAACCTTGACAGAGTTATGTCCTCTTGTCTGTTGATGAAGGTCGTGATGGTAAACAAGTATGGTCAGTTTCAAAGCAATACCTCCAATGGTTTTGAAATAAAGTGAGGTGGTACAAAAAACTTAACCAAGCTCAATACACACTTTCTAAGTCAAAAAAGGGCCATAATTCTGTCAAAAACCTTGACAGAGTTATGTACTCTTGTCTGTAGATGGAGGTTATGATGGTGAACAAGTATGGTAAGTTTCAAAGCCATACTTGTAATACTTCTGAAATAAAGTGGGGTGGTACGAAAAACTTAACCAAGGTGTGACGCCAACGCCGACGCCGACGCCGGGGCGAGTAGGATAGCTCCCCTTTTCATAGAAAAGTCGAGCTAAAAATGTTCGTTTGCAGTAACACGACCGACTCACAAAATTTGCCCCTACTCAAAATTTTTTTTCATGGTCTGGATAAAAAAAATTATATATTTTTTATGAATCAGAAAATTATGCCTTGTGCTTTGTTTTCGTTCTTTTAAAGGTTAATAGAAGAAATAAAATGTAGGTCTTATTAAATTAGAATTCAGTTATCAATTTATTAATTGTTGCCAGATTATCAAAGCATATATAGTCCAGCATTTTGAAATTCCATGTTTATTTGAGAGTACAGTTCAATAAAAAAAAAAATCGACCTACCTACCCACCTTGAAAAGTCTGGGTCGGGTTACTGCAAACAAACATTTTTTTAAGGATGGCCCAAACTCAGTAAAATAATTGCACAGACTGCATGAATTTTATGAGTCACCAGTGTTTTTTTCAAATCAACTCATTTCAAATATTGTCAAAATCATTTACATACATAACAATCAAAAGTATCATGCGCTGCATTTTAACAAACATGCAAACACTTACTTTATAAAAGATGCATCGGTTTCTTTTGCCTTTTCTATATATTTTTGTAATGATGCATCTTTCAATGAGCTGGATACAGATGCATCTGAAGATTGCCTGTAACAAACAAAATTTATGAAAAATACTTTTACGAAATCAGTTTGGATATGCCTATCTTAGAATTATAAGCATCTTAAAATTATAAGTATAATGCTCTCTGCAGCTATATATGTAACATGCCCCAACATGCACTGTGACAATTTAAACATGTGTAAATGTCAAATGTAGCAGCACCTATGAACATGGCAAACTGACCCAAATCAAATTGTCTTTAATCATAGACTAAACTCTAGAGACATCCATTTTGTATATACTGTAAGAATACATTAAAACCTCTGCAGAGTGACACCCTTTTGGAAACAAAGATTTAGTTGATGCTGAGGTGTTGTTATACACAGGTAAATTCTATTTTGAAGTCTTACTTTGGAACAAATTGAAACAGAGGACAGTTCTTTGTAGGCTACATTTTAAGTAACTTGTGTCTACATAATCAAATAATACTCTAAGTGTAAATTTTGAGACACCTTATATGAATGAATCTGTCTGTTGTTGTTTTCTTTTTACTTTAAATTGATCCCAATACAAAAATGAAAATAAAGTATGTTTTACTTGGTAATTGTTACAGAAAGGAAATAAATACAAATCACTTACCCATTTGACTCTGAAATATTAGATATGCCACCAAACTCAACTGATGTAGGAATGTTTTTCTCAGCGGCTACTGGTGTGGAATGTACAGCCATTGTTGTTTCTCCTAAGAGATGAGACCTTTTTTGGAGAGTTTGTTCTGGCTCAGCTTCTTTTGTTATCTTTTGAATTTCATCTGCTTCCTTCATCACATCTGTTAACATGCCTTCCCTTTTAAAGTAAACACACAGAAATAGAAACATAAATATCATTTTTTGCAGCATTCCATTCACGCAAAAAATTATTTTAATATTCACAAATAAAGTTTTATTTTACACATTGTGTAGGACTGTCATTGAATATCAATATCGCAATATTGATATATCATCGATATTCAACTTCCAATCCAATATTGATACACACTTTTAAATATCTTTACAAGCTAAAAAATTATTTCTTTTAGTGAATATACCTCTATTTTGCCTAATAATGAGAAATCACTTTTTTCTAGTTTTCTTGGCTAACTGGAACTTTAAAGTCTGTATTCAAAAGTTCAGTGACAAAAATAACAGGAAAAAAAACTTTCTGTGAGTTTGTAGTATTTGTAATGTCTGATACAAGCATGCATAACACCATGATCCAATTGATAACAAATATCTAAATGTTTTTCATTGACACTGTCTAAATCGATATATCGTGGATATCTGTCTCTCAATATATCGATACAAAAGTTTCCATCAATTACAGCCCTAACATTTTGTACAAAAAATGTCATTATCTACATGTATGACTATACAAATCAATACACACATGTATGAAAACTTTTAATTACATCATGTATAGCAGCATCTGGCTGGAAATATTTTATTCAAATAGATTTTCTGATAAAATTTGTGGGTTTTTTTTGTGTGTTTTATTTTTCATTCGGACGCCACCAGTTTTCAGACCTAATTGCACAAGGCAGACTTTATCACATGTGCCTGACTGTCAAACAAGACTTGGACAATTCATCTAAGTCCAATTAAAAATTTTGAAGTTTTAACAATTTTAAATTCAAAGGAAACCCCTATTACAATCATCATCTTTCATCTTAAATTGATTGCCTGCAGTGCAAACTAAAAAGTCAATATATTGTCCAAATTAAAAAAATATACACACTGCCTCTACACATCCAACACATTCAAATATGTACAATCCAAATGACAGGCATGTGATGGACATAATTTCTTCACTATACACTACCTGGGATATATGATAGCGTCATTTTAAGTCCCAGCTGTTACAAAATGTCTGTGTAAGTGCAAGTGTAATGTATACAGTACTGTGTTAAAGTCAAAACGCCACGGCCTCTATAACACATGTATGCTCCTTTCTGGAGTTATGTAGACTTTTACTGTTAATACCGATTTTTTAAGCAATATTTTCCTTTATTTAATCTCTCTATGGCTGAAAACATATGAATATCCTTGATATTTTTAGCTTTTCATTTGGTCTGATTAAAATTTCCAGTCTTTTAGTTTGTTTGTTTCATTTTATTTACGCCTTTTCCCAACAGTATTTCAGTCATATAGGCGGGTAGTTTCCTAACCATTGTTCCTGGAGAGTTACACCAGTACTAGACTACCTTCCTCCGTGCTAAACTACCAAAGCATCTCCCTGGGATTGAACCCACGCCAGAGAGGTAACTGGATTAGAAGTCATCGACTCTAACCCCTCGACCACGGAGGCGGTGCCAGTCTTTTAGACCAAATGTCCTAACAGATATTTATTTCTCAGTGTCTTACGGTCTACGTTAAGTGCCTTAAAATTTGAGGGATGAAATTGCCTGGGGTTGAAGTGTCTTGATACCATTATATAGACATTATGATTATATAGACCATTATATAGACACTTCACCGGGTAGAATTTTCATAATTTGGTGATTTTTTTTAGCATTTGCCTTTAAATATTTATTTGTTCAGCCATACCATAAAAATAAATTCTATAAATTTCCAATTTCAAAAGATTTAAACTGCTAACAGAAAACAGGTTATGCATCATACTGTACTCACTGTAAGTCACGGTTATCTGATAAACATACTTGGTACGTATACATGTACAATAAACACTTTACCTGTTTACAATCTTATTAAGTTATAGAATTAGTTTTATATGAGCGTTACAAAAGGAAATATTTTCAACGATTTTCTAAACCTAAAATAAAAAAATTCTGTAAGGATAAATTTGGATTTTTGTGCGTTTTGGCACTTTTATAATGCGTGACATGATCTGAATACCCCATCGGAGCCCCATCCAATTCGACATCATTGTTTACAAACAAGTATGTGTATAGCACCTTAATGAGACATTTTAGTTATGGTGTTGAATATAATTGAAAACCAACCCTACTTATATTGACAGGTCAACTACCATTTTCCCCCCAATAGTGAAAAATAAGACAAATGTTCACGTAGTAGATTCTACTTACCACAGATCAAGAAGAGCCGATGCAACTTCGTCATTCGTCTTGACATTCAGGGCATTTTTTGCATCTTTCCATCTACTAAAATTTCTCAATGAAATTCTTATTATATGTGACGATAACTCGTATTTCCTTTTGCACTCTTTTTTCGTAGCTAACAGCTCCTCCTCTGACTTTCTCTTCACCCGTTCCTTTTTCAGTCGCTCCGCCATTTTTTTAAACTGTTGATCCATGTGACATTATGATTGCCTAGGCGCATCGAACTAATTCCCGTCTCTTTATTAACATGTTAAAGTTCGTATACGAACATTAGTGTTGCCGTGGGGTTTTCCTTTCAAATTCGTATTTCTGAACAGTTTTTGATCAGATTTAAAGCGATCCCGTCTAAAAAGGTTTATGGAACTATATAAATGCTCATTCTTTGGGTTAACGGCAAATTATTTTTATATATTTATTTAATGTTGCTTTAAATCACAGAATTGTTGATGGAACACGAACATCAGTGCAATTTTATTAAAATAAAACTATCCTTTGAAGTCAGAGTGTGACCTTGACCTTTGAACTTCAGACTTAGATGTAGCACATGAAAAATTGCCCCAAGTACAACACATTTATACATCATTAATTGAAATTCCTTCATAAATAACAGTTATGGACTGGACAAAAAATTCTGACGGAATAGCAACAATATTGTGGTATTAACAGACCTTGGTAAGAGATTCACGAATTCGAAAACCTAGCTAAACGCCGTTTTCCGGTACTTTCTGTACATAGCTCTGGGGAATTCACCTAATGGAGTGTAATAGCGAAGTCAATGTTTTCGGCCTTTTTTTAAATTAAACTGAAATCAAACACTTATTTCTTTATAAGAAAATATTTAAATATCATTGTATGAATAATTCCATAAAAAAATAAAGTAAATACACAAGTTTACGCAGAAAATAACCTTATTTAATATGGAAGATTCCACTACGTCTGTTTGAAATTTATTAATTTTCATTATAAACTATTTTTTTTTAATAATTTGCAATAGATATGAAACAAATATTGATAATTTTCAAAAACATCAATTTATTTCACCTAAAACGGTTAAATAATGATAGAAAAATAGACATATCTCGTAACTGTGTTATGTACTTCATTTGGTGTAATTCCCCAGAGCTAAAACGGTAACGTACCGGAAAACGGTGTTTAGCTAGGTTTTCGAAAAGGTCAATAGGTTGAGCACCTAAGTATATGTTTGATAACCTTGATTGGCTGTAACCCCTGATGGAGAAGGGCCCATTGGGATTTGGATGATTCCTCTAAAAGCAGCCATTGGTGCTGTAGGCAACATTCAACAGGTGAAACTAATCCATTCATTAGACAGGCATATTAGTGCATCTGGACCTGATATACAGACATCTAGATAGGTAAGTCATTTACTTATACTATAATAAACAGGTCTAGTATATCACCAGATTAGTGTATGATGCACAAATTGGTACATAATACACAAATTGATGTATTTAATCATACACTGATCGGTGAATAAAAGTTTTGATAAATGCGTTTCTGTAAATAATTTGTTGTTTATTTATAATCATGTTTTGGCACCTGCACATAACATTGGTAATAGTCTGTTTTATTGACAAAGAATAAACACAACTTCTGATCTAAATGAACTTTAGGAGATTTTAATGTTTTCATCCACTGAAAAATTGTAACTTTCAGACATAAATTCATTTCCATATTTCATATCTAGTTATTATTCTGATCTGGTATACTTAGTTTTAAAATTGTCTTTTGACTGGAAAGTAAAAAAATAACCACTTCCAATTTTGGGATGCACCAATTAGTGTATCATTCAGTTTTTCAAAAAAGTGCAAGAATTGCCAGTGTTTACATCAATATCTTTTGTTTCAGGATATTTCTATGAATATTATCTATACCGGTTGGGGAGATAACTTCGGCTGGTTGAAAAACTTGGCTTTTTATAATTAAATCGAGTTATCGGAATTTTTAATCTAATCAAGCTCACCATCTCATACTATCGCTGGAATTCGACAATATCTGGAAATTTTGTCAAGTTTGGTAAGATATTTAAAAAATAACACAGACTTTTACCTGTTTGTCTACAAAACATGCCTTTAAAAAGTACGGGAATCCCATTGTTGTGCGCATGTGCAGCAGATGCTCATTTTGATGCCCGCACAAGGGTACTTTTATATATTGACCGACTACCGGTAAAGGTGACGACGTTTACGTATACATTTTGTAGATGAAATTCAGACTCACTTTTGTCTTGCTTTAACTCAGAAAAAAGGCTGATTTCACAATTGTAATCTTTAAGTGGAATGGATTGAAAGACTGATGGTAAATGCTCCTTTTATATGTTAATGTGTAACTTGAATACCACTAAATTAATTTCTTCTTCACTCTGTTAAGCTAAGCAAAAATAAATTTGAATCACTAATTCTTTAACTACATATTTCGTTATACGTTAATAAATGATAATGCATGTGTTTTTACGTAAAATGATTTATATGGTACATAGTATGTTGCATATAAATATCGTGTTATCATAGATAATCATTATTAATATACTAACGTAATGCTCAACAATTTTGGTAACAAATATTTTTTATTTGACATAAATGAACAGCAAAGAAATAATAGAATGTCTAAACATGTTATTTTACGTTTAAACTTACTCATTTAAGAAGAAAAACAAAGAGCCGGAATTATCTACTCGCGCGCGTTAAAAATATCCTTTTACGTACCTCTTCCAGGGCCTCTCAAAATTATCCGTTATGTTTCTAAATATAACTTTTATGGTGATACCGGAAAATTGAAGAGCTGAAGTTTATTATGGTGCAAGATTTATCAGAATACGTAAACAAATAAATGAAATATGCCCCCCAAAACACTGATTTTCGGCCGAGTTTATCTCCCAAACCAGTAGTAATTGCAGGTGCCACAATTCACACTGCTATATTTACAAAATAATGGGTCTTCATAGATTTGAATGATAGTCTGGTACACCAATTGGTGCATCATAAAATACACCAATTAGTGCATCATACACATATTGGTGCATCATGCACTAATCTGGCAAAATACTAGACCTGATGAAGGTTCTACAGTATGGATGGAAGGATGGATGCCACAAAACTATATGCCATCAGTCCAGAAGCGCGGCCTCTCTGGTTCCAAGGTTTTTGTCAGGATATGCACAGTGCATTGACTAGGGCAACTACTTAGTATACCTGAAATATTATATGCCCAAGGCAAGTGTGGAATACTTGCACTTGCTAATTTAAACAGAGTAACCTCCCCTTACTATCCATTTAATTATTAAATTTTCATGCATTAAACTTGTATTCTGACAACTGACAATTATGGATTTGGTCTTTAAATTTGCTTCCAAATCTTAAAATGGAATGCAATTCTAGTGACAATAATAAATACCTGAAAAGTTAACTTATTTTGCTAGCTAAGTTTTCTTCGTGTTTGACTATAATCTAACAGTTGAGGTAAACATACGCGTGATAAAATCTCAACACTTGAGGAAATACCACTGTAAACTAAACCGCTGACGAATTAGCTGACGATAGAGAGTAAATAGGAAACTGCTGGCCAGTTAAATGGAAACTGCGGAAAAATATAATCAGTGATCAATGCCTCACCAGTTTTTTTTACAATTGTACCTCAGAATACTTAAATTGAAAGTTTTAAATTTTGTGCAAAATTTTTCAACAAAACAATATTGCTGCCATTTGATGCACCTTATTTTTATTTAATTGGAGGCAATTTCTGAGCTTCCTAATTAACATTATCATTTTACCAGATATTCGGTATTTAAAGCAACTTCATGAAGGCTGAACAGAGTAGAGTTTGCTCGCCCATATGGTCTTTTTCTGGTGGCGAGGGTAAACAAAGGCAAACACACACACGCCGGACATAGTATAACGTGTATTCGTATAATTTATACCAAATACTGCGCAAACAAAACAGTTAAATTTATTTTTTTTCTTCCTCATATTATTTTTTTTTCATTATAATTTGTTTATCTATTAATTTATTTTGCAATATTATCATGTTTGTCAGTTTTTCAATTTAAGAAATAATATATCCCAAACAGTGATTTTATTCATATCATATACAAGTGTCCAATGTTATTTAAAAAAAAATAGCTTTAATGGAGTACATAATTATACTGTATTTTGGTTCAAAACACAGTGATAGGAAAATGTATATTTGGGTATGTTTGATTGTATCTTAGTGAAAGTGTATATTGTATTCATGATTAAAACAGCACTTTTTTAGTATAAAACCTTTATTTTTAGTATAATTGGGCAATATTTGGGTATATTTTGGCAATATTTGGGTATATTTGGGCAATATTTGGGTATATTTGGGTGTATTTGGGTATATTTGGGTATTTCGTGCTGCCCCTCAATAACATCACTGTTTGGAGTTCGGATGCGAGGAATTATGCGCATCCGAACGACAAACAGTGATGTTATCAAGCGATAAAAATCACTGATTTGGATATATTCTTTCGATTCTAGCACAACATTAACAAATAAATGTTGCGGCACTTGATAGTTAAGCAAAATTGCGCCTGATTTGTTTCCGAACTTATTTTCAGCGCATCGGATTTTTAGTGGTTATATACGTCACGTGTATAATGATTTTGTCACATGTCTTAATATAGAACGTCAAACTGTGCATCTGTTGCATAATAACACACACTTTCTGTTCTTCTATGTTCAATAGGGAAAAATACGGGTCGTGTTAGAATATAAAATAGTATGCTATTATCTTCTATTTAGTGACAGAGATTAATTCAAATAACATGAACACTTGCATATATAATAAACAGTAATATCAGGGCTGCAGATAACATGTGTATTTGCGTTATTACCCAATTAAAATGTCAAAAAACGCAATAGAAATAATAACTATAAGGGTAAGAAAAAGTAAATAAATTTTTAGCTCGACTATTCGAAGAATATGAGAGCTATTGTAGTCGCCCCGGCGTCGGCGTCAGCGTCCGCGTCGGCGTCTGCGTTGGTTAAAGTTTTTTGTAAAGTCAAATATCTCAATTATTGCTTGAGATATTCAATTGAAACTTACAATACTTATTTATAGTAACAAGGTACATCAGATTGATAAGTTGGATAACTCTACCTACAATATTGACAGAATTATGCCCCTTTTTAACTTAGAAATTTTGGTTAAAGTTTTTTGTAAAGTCAAATATCTCAATTATTGTTTGAGATATTCAATTGAAACTTACAATACTTATTTATACATGTAGTAATAAGATACATCAGATTGACAAGTTGGATAACTCTGCCTACAATATTGACAGAATTATGCCCCTTTTTAACTTAGAAATTTTGGTTATAAAGTTTTTGTAAAGTCAAATATCTCAATTATTGCTTGAGATATTCAATGGAAACTTACAATACTTATTTATAGAAACAAGGTACATCAGATTGATAAGTTGGATAACACTGCCTACAATATTGACAGAATTATCCCCCTTTGAAACTTAGAAATTTTGGTTAAAGTTTTTTTGTAAGTCAAATATCTCAATTATTGCTTGAGATATTCAATTAACATTTACAATACTTTTTTTATAGTAACAATGTACATCATTTTGCAAAATTGCATAACTCTGTCTGCAATATTTGCAGAATTATTTGCCCCTTTGAAACTTAGAAATTTTGGTTAAAGGTTAAAGGTCTTCAAAGATATTTACTTGATACTTTACACATGTACTTAAATTAGGGTCATAATTTGAGAGTCATAATTGTATGTCACTGACCAAGTTCCATAACTCTATCTTGCATTAAGGCTGATTCATATCCCCTTTTCTACTTAGTCTCTTGGTTAATGTTTACATGCAATTTTTACATATCTCAATAACTATTAAAGATATTTATTTAAAACTTCACATATGCAATTAGGATCAGAATTGTAGGTCACTGACAAAGATCAATAATTCTATCTTGCATTTAGGCTGATTTTTTCCCCCTTTTTCAACTTAGAAATTCATGGTAAAGTTTTGCTTGTAAGCTGTTATCTTCATAACTACTGAAGGGTTTGTGCCTTTTTTGGGACACTTTTATGCATTCATAATAATAAAGCAGTAATTTAGTTGATAAAACATCTTAATAACGAGCCTTTGTACCTTTTCTGTCAATTTTATGTATTCATAGGTAATTAGTATTATTATACTCAATAAAACACCCTTGTGACATTACCTTCCAAATAGTCAAGCCAATACTGTATAATTAGACTCTCTCTAAGGCCTATAACATGAATAAAAAAAAATAGCCCTTTTGTGAACTTAGAAAATTTAACATTATCAAGGCTCTTTAACTATCAAGCACTTAGAATAGTCGAGCGTGCTGTCCTACCGACAGCTCTTGTTATTTATGCAAACTACATTTGAACTGGTGCGTAATGACTTAAATTATACTTAACGTAGATCATTCTGTTTCAAACTGTTTTAACCTTTAAATTATACTTAACGCAGATCATTCTGTTTCAAACTGTTTTAACCTTTAAATTATATCAGGCAGCTTTGAAATCTCCTAGGCCAATAAACCATCAACCATAGTAGTAAGTAGCATTTTTATTACCATTCAAAACCTACAAAAATCTACAATGTAGTCAGAAATTTTGGGTAAGATACATGAACTTGTGCTTTATAACCCAAATTGGTTAGAGAGGGTAGGGTAAAAAATACAGAAATAACTCTAAGATGATAGAAAAAAACTCACAAAGATCACAAAACAAGGGTTAATTAGTCTAATTACCCAATACATGTATATACAAAATGTTATCTGTAGCCCTGAATATATCTTATTTTTTATTAATATAATTTAACACAAAACATGATATAATTTTTTTTTTAGTATTACAATTTAGTGAATTTACTTTAACATTGATTCAGTACTTTGCGTTTTTGTTATGTTCTGAAGGAGGATCATTTTTAATTGAGGTAGCTGTAGTGTAATGCTAATATTTAGCGCGACTTCGCACTAAGTTTGTATAACGCGAATTACGCCAAGTCAAATTATACAGACGGCCGTGCAATTTCATGTTTTATGCTATTGCAAAAGCACAACGGGTATGTGTCAAACATTTCAATAAAGGTTACAGCCGTTTGTAAATATAGAGTGTCTGCAAAAGCTAAAATTTTTAAAATTCATTAAAGGGAGACACAGGCAAATTTCAATTTTTTTAATTTTGAACTTTTTATCCATTATTCTGTAAATGTCTTCTAAATGAATACATTAGGCAGTCACAGGAACAAATGTTTTCTCATTATAAAGTATTATAAATTATGATGGTTTTCTAACCACTAGGGTGAGGTTAGAGCGTAAAGATTTCACAATAATTGTCACAGTGAACTTTGGAAAGGCTAAAGAACATGTCAAATGAATGACTTAGATTTGTTTGAATCATACAATATCCACAACAGCTGTTATTGTAACTTCCAGGGTTTGTTCAAGTCACATAACTTGTTTTAAAATTACTTGGTGATTCTTTCGGCTTTGGAATTTTGTTCAACATAATATAGATACATTTACGCTTCAAACCCAAAATTTATAGAATTTATTGCAGAAATTCATGCTTGGATTTTAAACAATCCAGATTTAGCGTGATTTTAATCATAAAATTATTTAGATATTTTTAAAATTTCGGGGAAGCATAAAGTCGCTGTTTTTCTGTCCGTCCGTCTGTCTGTCCGCACTATCGAATAGGGATAGGGTGCCATCTAACTGTAAACAGAACAAAAGAGAACAATATAATTCATTTCGTAACAATAAGATAAGGGGCCATGGCCCTCTATTGAACAAAAGAAAATAACAATAGAAATGGCCCTTTATTCCTAATCGGTCGAACGTCCGTCCTTCCGCTTTTTTGTGCCCCATTTAATTTACCCTTGTCCGTCCATTCGTCCATCCTTCCATCTGTCTGTTCCCTTTTTCTGTCGCATGTAGCTCAAAAAGTAATTGACCTAGAGTCATGAAACCTTACAGGAATGTTGTTCAGCATGTTAAGTTGTGCACCTGGGTATTTTCATGTGGATATATTTAGTATTTTTAGAGTTATTGCCATTGACTAAGTAAAAATTTCCAATTTTTAACTTGTGTCGCACGTAACTCAAGAAATATTTTACCTAGAGTCATGAAACCTTACAGGAATGTCGCTCAGCATGTGAAGTTGTCCACCTGGGTATTTTCATGTGAATATATTAAGTATTTTTAGAGTTATTGCCCATGAATTAGTAAAAAATTACAATTTTAAACTTGTGTCGCACATAACTCAAAAAATATGTGACCTAAACTCATGAAACCTTACAGGAACGTTGATCAGCATGTGAAGTTGTGCACCTGGGTATTTTCGTGTGGATATTTTTAGTATTTTTAGAGTTATTGCCCTTGACTTAGTAAAAATTTACAATATTTAACTTGTATTGCACGTAACTCAAAAAGTTTATGACCTGTAGGCCTGAAAGTCTACAGTAATGTTGGTCAGCATGTGTACTTCTGCACCTTAGGATTTTCTTGTGGCTTTATTCAGTATTTGTAGTATTTGCCCTGTACTTAAAAAAAGATTTTTAGTTTTCAACTTGGGCACATGTAGCAAAAAAAAAATAAAAAATAAAAAATTGACCTAGAGACATAACATTGACAAATCGATGGAGTGTGTGGGCACCCGTGTCCTATGGACACATTTCTAGTTTGTTCAAGACATAAGTTTGAAACAACAAAAGGTATCAACATGAAACTTTGTAGGTAGATAGATCTCATGAAGTAGGTGTGCAGTACACAAGAACCATAACTCTGCCTTTCCTCATTTTTGAATTATTGCCCTTTGTTTAATTTTACACTTTGAACATTGTCCGGGACATAACTCTGAAACTACATGAGGTATCAACATGAAACTTTGCAGATACATAGATCTCATTGTGTAGGTTTGCAGTGCACAAGAACCGTAACTCTTTCTTGCTTAATTTTGGAGTTATTGATCTTTGGTCATTTTGACACTTTGAACTTTGTCCGGGACATTACTCTAAAATTATAAGAGATATTGACATGAAACTTTGTAGGTAGATAGGTGTCATTGGTTAGAAGTGCAGTGGGAAAGAATCTTTACTCTGCTTTGCCAAATTTTGAAGTTATTGCCCTTTGTTTATTTTTACTTTTGTCCGTGACATAACTCTAAAACTATTTGAAATATCAACATGAAACTTTGTAGGTAGAAAGATCTTATTGGATAGAACTGCAATGCTAAAGAACTTTAACACAGCCTTGTCTAATTTACAGTTATTGCCCTTTGAATTTTACCCGGGAAATAACTCTGAAGTTATAAGATATCATCATGAAACTTTATAGATAGATAGATCTCAATGAATAGAAGTGCAGTGCTGAAAGACATAACTCTGCCTTTCCAAATTTTGGAGTTTTTGTCCTTTGTTCATTTTTTTTTATACTTTCCTGTGTCAAAAAACTTCTCGGGGAGCATCACTGTGTTAAATCGGTTCTTTTTTGTCATTAACTTACATGAATATCCCTTTTATATATGTGCCTTGTAGGAGGAAAATTTGTTGTAAATTATTGCTTTAATTCAGGGTCGTTTTTCTATCAAGAAAATACAGGCAGACAAGCTGGAAAGTAAAGACACAATTAGTGGGAAACTATAATGAATACGTGTTGAAAGAAATAAGATGCTCAGCTGATGTAAATTACAAAAATGACACATTAATGTGAAGTTTGTGATAACACATATAATCAACGAAATTCTCTGAACACACATATGCAAACACACACTGGTGAGAAGAATAAAAATCTATTATGTGTGATAAAACATTTCTCTACGAAGTAATTTGAACATGAATATGGAATTATACACTGGCAAAAAGAATCTTAAATGTAACATGTGTGATAAAGGATTTTCTCAACAGAGTAATTTAAACAAGCATATGACAATACACACTGGTGAGAAGAATCATAAATGTAAAGTGTGTGATAAAGCATTTTCTCATTTGAACACGCATATGACAATACACACTGGCGAGAAGAATCATAAATGTAAAGTTTGTGATAAAGCATGTTCTCAACGAGGTGATTTGAACAAGCATATGACAATACACACTGGTGAGAAGAATCATAAATGTAAAGTGTGTGATAAAGCATTTTCTGTACAAAGTAGTTTGATCAGTCATATGAAAAAACACACTGACGAGAGGATTCATAATTGTAAAGTGTGTGATAAAGCTTTTTCTGAACAAATTGATTTTAACAATCGTATGACAATACACACTGGCGAGAAGAATCATAAATGTAAAGTGTGTGATAAATCATTTTTTGTACAAAGTAATTTGATCAGTCATATGAAAATACACACTGACGAGAGGATTCATATATGTAAAGTGTGTGATAAAGCATTTTCTGTACGAAGTAATTTGAACCAGCATATGGAAATACACACTGGTGATAAAAATCATAAATGTACACTGTGTGATAAAGCATTTATTCAACGGGGATCTTTGAGCAGGCATATGAAAAAAAAAATACACGCTGACGAGAAGAGTCATAAATGTAACGTGTGTGATAAAGCATATTGTCCAACTAAGAACTTTGAACAGTCATATAAAAATACACACTGGCGAGAAAAATCATAAATGTACTATGCGTGATAAAGAATTCCTTCAACAAGTATATTTGATCAGACATATGACAGTACACACTGGCGAGAAGAATTATATATGTAAAGTGTGTGATAAAGCATTTTCTCTACAACATAATTTGATCAGGCATATGAACATACACACTGGCGAAAAGAATCATTGATGTAAAATTTGTGGTAAAGCATTTTCTCAAAGCAGCAATTTGAACAAGCATATGACAATACACACTAGAGAGAAGACTCATAAATGTACAATGTGTGATAAAGCATTTTCTCTACAAAGTTATTTGATCAGGCATATGAATATACACACTGGCGAAGGTTAATAAAAGTAAAAACTACACAAAAAGTGTGATATATTTCGCATGATCAATCAATATACTTTAAAGAAAGTTTGGGCAAACTTTGAAAACATTGTTGTAAATAGGCATATTTTGAGTAAGGCTTTTTATATAGGGAAATGATCTAATAAGTGTGTAAAGTGGTTGGGGTAGGGTAACATTTTTATACATATTAAAAACATAATGTTTAGAAACAGTCTTTTTGCTCGTGTAATGTTATTATTTGTTTCTTAACAATGATGAATAGCAAAATATTTTTCAGAATGATGATATTATAGATTAGTTAGAGTTTCCCTATTTCTGAAAAAAGCCCATTAAATAGCAAAGGTTTAGTTCAGAAATATATCCATAACTCATAATCCACTCCGTAAATGCCATTTAAACTTTGCATAGAGGTGACCTTAAGGCATATAACTGTCCTATATATGTTGTCAATTTTACAGCTCCGTTTGTGCCCATTAGCCTTGGTCTATTTTAAAACCTCAAATTTTATATCTTTACGCTTTTAAGCATCCTTTAACACACACACAAGTTTTGGACGTTTAATGAGAAATTCACAACAAAGAAATATTTGATGGTGCTTAGAGATTTGTGTAGAAAAAAATTGTGATACACAGTCCCAGTTTAGACCCTTTCATTAACGCCTCCGTGGTCGAGGGGTTATAGTCGATGACTTAAATTCTAATCTAGTTCCCTGCGGTCTGGAGACCGCAGGGTATTGGTACGCGTTTAACCTTTGAGGCATGGAGGAGCACGTGACCTGTTTTCGGTACATGGAGGAGCATGTGATCTGTAAACCGTACATGATTGGTTAATTGACCTTTTCGAAAACCTGGCTAAATACCGTTTGCCGGTACGTTACGGATAATCCTGTAGGGAATAAGTCCGAATTACACCTAATTAAGAACAAAAAACTATTACGTGATATTTTTAATTTTCTATAATTATGTTACCGTTTAAGGTGGAAAAAACTTGAATGATGTGTTTGAAAATTATCAATGTTTCTTTAATATGTATCTCAAAATGTTACAAACAATAAATTGTTTATACTGAAAATCTACAAAATTAAAATATTCGTAGTGGCATCTGCCATAATAAATAGAGATATTTTCTGCGAAAACTTGTGTGTTTACTTTATTTATTTATTTATTTTTTTTGCTCGGAATTATTCATAAAATGGTAGGCCTATTTAATCATTTTCTTAAAAAGAAATAATTGTTTTATGTTCGACCTTCTTGGGTCATCAACGGTCACCAGTTTCCAAAGACCTTCTTCTATATTGATCTATCATTGTTAACTATATTCCTGATACATACGTTTATTTATCCCCCCCAAACAATGTTGAAAATAGTTAAATGAAATATCTTTATATCATTAAAAATGTTCCCCGCAGGAAACCATTTTACTTGTTACCTCTCTGGTGTGGATTCGATCCCAGGGAGATGCTTTGGTAGTTTAGCGCGGAGGAAGGTAACCTAGTACAGGTGTAACTCTCCAGGGATGATGGGTAGGAAACTACCCACCTATATGACTGAAATACTGTTGGAAAAAGGCGTAAAATGAAACAAACAAACAAGACCCGTTCACATGGTCATAAAAGGGCGTTTCGCAGCAGCCCTTTTAATTATCCTCCTCATAAAATTCTCACTGTTAACGTTATTGGGCTTTTATCAACTCCTTGTATCAGTATTTTCAATACTTGTAATGTTAATTCGATGGATGTATAACTTTCATTAAGTTAGTTCTAATGGGTTGCTTATTATTTTCAATGACCATATGTAAATAAATCATGATATTTGCCTATTAAGTCTAATTTTGTTACGTTCTTCATTGCTCCTTTTCATAAATATTTTTATTTTTTTAAATTGTTCTTTTCTACAACTTCATTATAATATTCCAAATATTTTTTCACCCTTCCCATATTTACACTACTGACCAACGTGCGCTTGAAAAGGACAACCTAACCGTCGTTATCATCATTCTCAAAATAGTCAGTGTTAACAGATTGCCTGGTGAATCAATTAATCATAAGATAGCCATTTCATTGCTGAGCAAACATCTAATGTCAAGTTATCGTAGCTGATTATGTCATTATTGAATGACTTTCAGCATACGCGTTTCCTAAATAAGTCTGGGATGAGTGTTTGATCATTGAAGTTATAGCAAAGGATTGGGAAACTTTAACCCGATCGATGATATTTACGGGCAATTTATGAATAATTTATACAAAACAGTTTTTAAAGAAACGTAAAAATACAAAATAACACTTTCACTTTTAACAACATAATAATGAGTATAGATTTAGCTTTTCAATAAAGTGTGCACGTTTAACAAATGCAACTCAATATATACCTGAAAACAGATATAATAAAGAAAGCCCAAACGGTAGTATTGCATAATATTTTAATATTTGATGACCTCCCAAGCAATATATACCATTAAAAAGGAACATATCTACAAATTTCAACGCAGACGCCCATATTAGTTATATTAATTATATTATATCACTATAAACCCTTTCTTCGCTGAAGTTATCAAAGATAACCACTTTAAACCTATACTTCGCTTCAAGTGCTCTAAAATAACCGCTTGAAACCTATACTCCGATATAGATGTTTAAAGATTACCACTTCTTTAAACTTATTCTTTGTTTAAAAGGTTTCATCGATAACCACTTGAAACTTATTTTTCGCTGAAGTTATCAAAGATAACTTTAAAGCCACACTTCGCTTCAAGTGTTTAAACATAATCTCAATAAAACCATACTCCGCTTCAAGTTTTCAAACATAACAACTTTAAAACCGTACTTTGCTTCAAGTGTTCAAACATTATCTCTTTAAAACCATACTTCCTTCTAGTTTTTAATCATAACAACTTTAAAGCCACACTTCGCTTCAAGTGTTTAAACATAATCTCAATAAAACCATACTCCGCTTCAAGTTTTCAAACATAACAACTTTAAAACCGTACTTTGCTTCAAGTGTTCAAACATTATCTCTTTAAAACCATACTTTTTTCTAGTTTTCAAACATAACCACTTTATAACCATATTTCGGTTCAAGTGTTCAAACATAATCACTTTAAAACCATACTTTGCGTCAAGTGTTCAAACATAACCTCTTTAAAGCCATGCATCGCTTCAAGTGTTCAAACATAAACACTTTAAAACCATACTTCGCGTCAAGTGTTCAAACATAACCACTTTTAAGCCATGAAAGTGTTCAAAGACGTGCACTTCGTTTAAACTGTTCAAAGGATATTATTGATACTTATTTGCCGTAGTGTATAATTTTAATAGATGAAATTAAAAAAAAACACAACATTTTGAAATATATCAGTATTCATTTATTCATTATAATACATGTATGGTTCTATGTGACAATTTTATACAAAATAATAGATGCTTAAATATTAATTTAACCCTTAATCTTCTGATGGAATCAAAGTAATCTTGACTTTGCCCTACCAGCTTAGAGCATGGCAGTCTGAACGTCCGGGCTGTCTGCCTAGGCGCTCTTCTGTTGAAGGCTCAATGTTTGTCATTTGCACTTAGCAAAGCCTAGCATTAGCCTATCCATTGCACACGTTTAGGTGGTTAATGGGAAAACATACAAAACAATTATTTGATTTTGGCAGTTGCATATTGCTGTCTATAATACCTGTGTACAAATTATAAGATTTATAAGATAAAACACTGCATTTATCCTAGTTCAAAGCTTTCTTATTGACAAATATGATACACCATTCAAGAACAATACTTCGAGTGAAAAATATTTTTTATTCGTTTTTATGCATTTTTGTTTGTATTTAAAATGAATGCCTGTATATAATTATATGTGTGTATATAATGATTAATGATTTATAATAAAACACTTTCTACTCTATATTTGAAGATCCTAGAATATATATCCCTATTCGACACACATGGGTGGATTTACAAAGCCAAATACATTGCATTCTATCATCACTGAAATAGTCACATAGAGGGCGTACACAGATAGACACGTGATCCCGACACATTTATTTAACATCCATCCAGAGAAATGCACAGCTCCAACCTTGAAAAAAGGAGACAAGAGGTGTTATAATTGTATATTTTTTACGATAAATACCAGAACAGAAGAATAAAGAAATGAATGGTTCATACAAATTCAATGTTAAACATTATATATAGCGCCGAAGAGTATTTATATATAACTGTGGCGGCGTATTTCTGCCAACACTTCAATATCACCTTAAGTTTATTATTACACAAAATAGTTAGAATTCCTGGTAAAAAAAGAAATTTCATATAGAAATCTAATTAACTAGATTTATTATGCTTGCGCGAAATCTTGTTTACGAGATATTGTCATACATATGAAAACGCGAAATACTATACTCATGAAAGTTTTTAGGAATACAATAACACCTTAAATTTCTAGAAATCAATAACCGGAATGCATTGATAGAAATGAAATAAAACTCTCAATAATCTTAAATTAAGAGCAATAAGCCAAAAGTTAGAGTTGAAATGAAAATAAGTACTTACAGTGAGAAGAACGGTTAAGAAAAGTAGAATAATACTGTACACCATTCCCTCGCTGTTTATTGCTGCCTGAAAAAATAAAATATACTTGGGTTACATGCCTGGTCATATTCATTTAACTCTAATAGAATATCTAAACTGGACTTGTTTATCTGTTAATCTGTCCATAACCTTATTATCGTTTTCAGGGGAAACATTCAAAATTTGAACTGACACTGACTGAAAATCAAACAGTACATACCATGATCTGACGGCTCGGATTAGCCGGTTAATCTTAGCTCACATACGAACTATCATTTATCAAATAAAACATATAAATGTTATCTTTATGATAAGATATGATTCAAATTCTAATTCAGAATTATTTTTTATATGAATATTGAAGGTTTGTACTAAGCGTACATGGATCCAGTCATACGAATTTATTTAAGCGCGAGCCCCAACACGCAGCCATCTGTAATTATGACAGATCTACATGCTCGTAAAAGTATATCAAAACAGTACACTTACTGTTGAGCCCGGACTGACAATGGCAGTTTTCAGGAACCATGGAAACGAAAGTCCTAGGAGAATATCAAATATATTGCTGCCGACACAGTTTGACACCGCCATATCACCCATACCTGTACAGTAAGACAGGCATAACTTTTAAATGTAAAAACGTATATTTTTTATCCCGCTGATTATAGAAAAAAGATAGCATAAGTTATTATAACGTAGTTGACCAACCATATATAGCATCAATTCATGGAATTCATATCATATAAACAACCCACTATTAACGATAGTTGTGTTTACAATGTAATATCGGCAATGGGAGTAGATTAGACGCATAAAACATAATGCACAAAACATTTTAGACGTAATAATATTGAAATTCCAAAGTAACCTAGCTATGAAAATGAATACCAATATTAGAAATAACTTTTCTTTAAAGTCATATAGGTTTTTTTCCAAATATAAACTCCCCATACAAACTGTATAGCTTTTATTACCCATTTCATCGGCTCTTTGACTCAAGTGTGCATATAGACATTCAGTGACAACATTCTAAAATCATTTAAACAGTTTCTGCTTTTCCCATAGGTTTTATGGACAGACAAGAAGAGCATAAAGACTATACAATAAGAAAATAATCGAGAATTTAGAGTTTAGTAATATTTACACAAATTTACCTTGTTTGGCTACAAAAACACTGGCTAATGCATCAGGAATACTAGTTCCAGCGGCGAGGAATGTAATGCCCATTACGCTGTCAGGAATACTGAACGCGTAACCTATATACGTTACCTATAAATAAAAACAAATTGTTTTTTCAAAAATAACGTTATCCATAGCATAACGGAAAAACGAAGCATTTTAAGAACTTATTTATTTGATATGAGTATATTATAAACGATTTGTTTTAACAAAATTAAAATTACACATATAAAGACTTAATTTGGATCCGCTTATATTGTCTACTCTTCAGAACAACTGATATCGGCTCGTAGTAACTAATCGATAAATTTTGCCTTTTTTTCCAAAATCACAAGGACAGATCGATTTAGAACGAAAGCCGTAAAGATCGTGTGTATCAACCGCTCTCCATTTTTATTTTCCAGACTAAAATTAAATAGCTAATAAGAATACTAATGAGTTATCAAATGGAAAAAATATAATAAATAATGCAATACTTCAACTAACCATCCAAATAGTGACGTACGAGAACAGAAATATCCAGACTATAGACATGGCAAATGTTGCTATGAAGTATTTCTCCCATCTGCAAATCAATAAAATAATCAAATCAATAAATCAGAATAAAAATACAACATTTTACTATCTGTGTCTCGGACTATTACATGTGTTTGTGAGTGTGGGAAATATGTAAATGTTTGCCTCACTTAAAACTATAATAACTGTTCTATGAGACTATTGGAAAAAAGAGATGTTATGTTTTTATTATTTTTCATTCGAAGATGTTAAACTTTGATACCGTAATACAGTCAAATCGATATCCGTGTTAAAGATCCGCCCTAAATAAAAACTAAATTGTGAATTAAGACCATTTTTTTAAAAGAAATCGTTCATTGATTTAATAAAACAGAGTACTAAAAGAAACACACACAGTAGAACCACTTGTCTATAAAAGTCATGTTTGGTCTCTCCTTTAAGTGGCCTTTGTTCACATGTTTGACTGTACATCCAAGTCCATTGATCGCATGACCGCATCATGGATCATTATCAAAGAATAACAATCTTAACGTATGTGCAAGCTCCTATCACCCGCGTGATTATCTCAGGGGGTCGAACGTATAGCGGTGCGATACTCCTTTAAGCGAGGTGATTTCATGCGATACGCCCTAATGGCGGATTTACCCGTGTAAACACACGTCAGAGTGAGTGTTTTTTTATTAAGTATTTCATAAATTTTCGATTACAATTGCATATTTTGTATTGAGGATGTGAAGATAGGACCGACACACATTTCATCAAAATTACAGAGGCCTTAATTCATAATTAAAAAAGTTATTGAAGGTAAACTGACGGCAACTAATTTTGGGTCGGTGAATAAAATTGCTTAATGCAAGATTTATATTAATATAGTTAATTTCTTTTTCTTCTTTATTCTATAAGAGTAATCATAATTGAGTTGCATAGCAAGTACCTTTGTGCTTCGATATACATAGACGCTAACTGGTCAAAATATTTAAGTGTACGCTGGATTTTGGTGCGATAAAATAACTGTACGCTGTTAAAGGTTCGATATTTTTCATTATCACATCTGCTGTACATGTTTTCCTATGATTATACTAAGATATCTACCATATATGTGCCCGTTTCCGGAATTCTAAAATCTTCTTCTTTCCTTAAAGATTTACTTGAAAAAAAAGTTTTGTATAACCATCTATATAAGTGTTTGAACTTAATTTGAATAATTAATAATAATTATCCTGTGATAATTAGGAGTTGGAAAAAAGTAACCTTTACTCTAAGATCTTAGATAAAAAGTAGGAATTTGACCAAAATATGTAAGAATGAATTTAAGAAACAAATTAAAAAAAATCTTGTATAAATTAACTCACTTTCAAAGCAGAACATTTCAGAAAAATAGCTGTTTATATGTGATATAAGGGCTGTTTTACTTCATGGGGTTCTAAGATCTTTTGTACATGCTGCTGTTAAACTCATATTTTTTTCATATTATAAATAGAATTGAACATTTCAAACAACCTATAAAATACAGTGAAAGTACATTTCACTGCTGTTTTAGAGATAGAGACTGAGAACCAGGTGGTAAAAATCTGTAGGTGGTAAAATTCCTTTCTAAAATGTTGCTTAGAACAGGCTATTTTTGTAGTGCACATAATTGTGGCTTGTCAGGAAAAAACACAAAACTACAATTTCAAAATTCAGTCAGTCCTTGGACACCAAACAGCTCAGTGTCTTTCTTAGGAACAGCTGATGCTCACATGTGCAAATACACAGTTGTAAATGTTGCAGAGCAATTAAAACATTACAAATTGATTAACAAACAAAACTACTGCCAGATAGTTAAAGTACCACAAGTACAAATGCTGACACATATGCAAATAAACAAAAAGCTATTGAGTATATAATATTAGAGTGAGTCACACTGCTTATGGAGTAGTATATAAATAACATGTGGGTTTTTGGGTTACAGTTAAAATATCATCCCAAGGAAAATACTGTTAGCCAAGGTGTTAGCCGAGGGAAACCGTATTTTTAGGAGTAGTATATAAATAACATGTGGGTTTTTGGGTTACAGTTAAAATATCATGCCAAGGAAAATACTGTTAGCCAAGGTGTTAGCCGAGGGAAACAGTATTTTTAGGAGGGTTGATATTTTTACTGTTACTCACAAACGCTTGTGTGTTATTTATTTTATTTCCCGAACAGATACTGTAATCTATAATACTTTTATTTACATAAAAAAAACACTTGCCCAGATTTTATACTGTTAAAAAGTGCTGTTGGCCTGTAACAGTACAAATCTCTTGGTACACTTGCTTTAACAATAAGAGTAACTCCTAGTGGAAATGAATATTTACAAAAAAGTGAGGGGTAATGCTATACATTAAATGTTGCAGAGAAAGCCTAGTTTTAAAAGTAAAACTACTGGCAGATATGTTAAATCACTAAAAGTATGAATGCTTTCATAAGCAAATACACAAAGCTGTTTGGTATACACTGGTTATGGAGTAGTATAGTTATATATTCAAAGCGACAGAGCTAATGACAAACATCAGAATTACTGAAATACAATGATGTGCTCTGTATATAATATATAACATCCAATCCATAGAGGAAATCAAACCAGTATTTTTTTTTATAAATTTCAAGTTCCATTGCAAAAAAAAAATGGAAGAAACAAAACGAATATTATCGTGACTATTGATTATTTGATAGAATTTCAAATTTCTGTGCATAACTTATCTCATTTTAATGATTAACCTTTGTGAGAAAAGAATATTTAAATTAACTATATCATAGTATAATACATTAATTGACACTGTTGTTTTAATTGACACTGTGGTTTACATATGATTAACATACAAACTCAAAACTTGATATTTCATCAAAATTGAATAAGAATGTACTGTAATGAGGAAGTTGCTACAGAAAAACATACCAACATTTGTGCGTACAGTTGGTTTATCGGACCAAATATTTGGCGTACAGTAAGAAAACTGGAAATATTTTATATATTTTCGGATAGATATGGAAAACTACTCTTGTATATCGTTTTGTTTTCAAAAATAAACATGTTGGGACTTAAGCTAATCGAATATCTCGTTTTAAAACAACTGATACATTATTCGTTTGCATGTGCATATCAGTTTGACGGTTGAATTTGCAGCAACAAATACCTCAATAACTTCCTCAATTCCAAAAAATTTAGTATTTTATTTTGACAATCATGCACAATTATAAGTTCTGATCAGCATGCACAATGCTATTCTTCAAAAAATTACAATAGACAACAAATATTTGGGAAAAAACATGCTCATACCCACTTTCATTTTCGCTTCCGTTCGCCATTAGGGCGTATCGCATGAATTGACCTCGCTTAAAGGAGTATCGCACCGCTATACGTTCGACCCCCTGTATCTGCACTTTTAAAATAAGTACCGTGCTAATCCAATGTTAACTGAAAATTTGTTTTGTCTATGCCAAATTAATGCAAACTTCTAAGTCTTTTCATGAATATATTTCAATGACAAGAAAACTTATTTAAAAAGAGAATGGAATATACTCACCTTGGTTTTCTACTATCAGGTATGGTGTAATATAACAATGTTTTAATTGGATAAACTATAAACCACTTTGCCGCTGCCAAATAACCATCTTGCTCTGAAATATTTCAATTATTTAACTGAGCAGTACCTCTAGACTTTTGCAGGAATCATGATCACATAATTTAGACAAATATCGTTAAACTTGGTGTTTTTTCCCGCCGATTCTTATATTTTTCATTCATTATCGTATATAAATCGGTGTGAAGAGATGTATTAGATGTTTTAAGTCCATTCCGTCGGGGGAAAAACGCTAGATTTTAGCATTTAATCATTCAAGAACTTTGTCCGGTATATACCGGAATACGGTATTTAGTGTGGTGCTCCAATCTTTTTTTTTAGCCTCACACATATTCAGTACGTGTGATCTTAGGTAATACGTTAAGTATATGTCAATTATTTTATATTATCTTTGCCGCTTTTAAAGTCATAAGTATTATAGATAGATACCTTTCCCAAGAAAATATGTATTATATAATACTCTGTATTTTTAATTACCTATATTTGGCAGTTTCCTCCAATCATCTATGTTTTCATCATATGCCATGCTCATCCTAAAAATAAATACACATATCAGCCATATAGACTTTGAATGTTTCTTACATGGTTAAACAAAAGGGATAATTCAAACATGATATATAACACGAACAAAACGATTTTTCACCGATAGCATTACTAAATGAACGCTATAATATGATGCCATTTTGGCATAAGAAATTATTGCAGAAAGTATTACGTTGACTATGACGTCATATAACCACACGGGATGTCCTTTGAACGGACATGTAATGTCGTTGACCTTAAACCACTAGCCTCTTACCGCTGCAAGTTCGAGCCGCGCAAGCGTCGTCGGAGGCTACATGTGAGAATGCTATCCAGCTAGCTTACGGAGCGTCAGTGGTTATACTCAGGTGCCCGTTAAGCATAAAATAATGTAAAGGAGAGGCTCCTGAGGCCTTCCTCCACCAGTAAAGCTAGAAATTCGCCATATGACATATACTGTGTTGGTACATGCGACGTAAAACCCTAATAATCATTTAATAACATTTGTAACGCTTAAGAATGCTATATTTTACACTATATTTTGACACTATTCCATTTCTTTGAGCATGCTTAAAACATATCAAACACGCCTGTTGAACATCATTCAAATACTGTATTATCAAATATTTCCTTTAAGTAATTGCTTTGATGTGTAATTACATAAATACATCGTACCAATTTCTGACTGATTTAGCATATGACCGCATAGTAGAGGCTCTGCTTGCTTTTTTAAATAATTGGCGCCGAAGAAATGCACTGTCCGCTTTCATTCGTAGGTGCTGAAAAAAAAACATAAAAACATATGAAGATATATAATCATCTTAAGCAGAATGGATATTGATTTATTTTCACCTTCCTCCTTAATTTTTTATATATTTTTATTGCCCATTTTAATGTTCCCTTTGTTACAGAAGTCTGTCTCATGAGTTCGAGCACTACTTGGGATACGACCATGTTTCATCATATGATACCAGTACTGGTTGGTTCCAGGAAGCGGACTCGAAATTGATTAAAATGAGTTGCAAGAACTTGCTTCGCAATTGAACTTAAATTACACAAAACTGTTACAGATCAAAAAGAACACCGAAGGCCGAAATAAAAAAAAACTTCTTAAAGATATATTCTCGAAAAGAAAATATTGTCCACAACAAGTTCGTTTAAAACCCAGCACCGATCAGAATAGAATTCTATGTATTATATAATTATATGAATTTATAGTATTCTTTTTGTACCCATTACACATACAATTAGTCAGATAGGTCAATATTGAATATACTTTAACTTCAATTTAAGATTAATGACTTCACTTCAATAGGTGATATATTTCCATCTGTTTTCGTCAAAGCGCCTTTGCTTAGGATCTATGAGTATATAGAATTCGTTATTTCTGCAAACAAAACTAAAAAGTTACCAAACATATAATGATTTTAAGCTCATACTTACATAAGAAACTACCAGCCTGGCAGCAGCTATGAACCTACACTTTCCTTTAAAGTTATGCCCCATCATAATACGGAATGCTGCTTCATCAAAAGTAAGCCTATTAAATAAATTATTGACAAATAGAAATGTTTGTAGGAGTTGTTTTTAAAAAAAATCACATATACACTGTTATGAGCATAATTCATCTTTCAAGCATACTTGTATTGAAAGTTTTAAAGTACAAATAGATATAGATTTGTACGTAGCACGTGGGAAACACTTATGTAGAACCATCTGGCTATAAGCGTCGAAGAATGATATAGAATAATGGTCTTATGGTTATCTAAATCAAAGCAAAGGAGAAGAGTCCTGACACAGTTTTTCCGTAAAGATTTAAAAATTCAAGTCGACGATTGTATTGTTATTATTCAAATATACAGAAAACATTCATTTGTGCTCAAAATGGCATTTGTGTAACCTTTTTTTATGTTGTCAATATTTTATTTAATTTGTACTTAATGTAACTTTCTAAGTGACATTTTCTCTTGTTACCTTTTTATGACTAATGTCATCAATATTCTACTTTTGTTTTTTAACGTAACAATTCAGCAATAAAAAAAGCAATAAAATATCTAAATTCCACACAATATTCCTCCACAATATTCCTCCACAGACGGTAATCATTTGTGCAGCGTTTCTTACTAATTGCCGAGATGATGGACATTTACGTACTTGATATTTGAATTAAGGGCATAATTATCGGCCGACGTTTGTTCGGTCGTCTGGAACTCCCTCATTTCTGTATGATCTTCTTTATTATCTTCAGTAGACGAATGAAATACATCATCATCATCACCAAATTGCTCTGCAAGAAACCATACTATTTTACATAATTTCGTAATTACGACGCTTAGGATCAAATCATACCAAAAATGCATTTTGACAAAAAGATAATGCAGAACGCCAGGAAAAACGGCCAGACTGCAGAAAATTTTTCGAATGTTGCTTAACAATACAGCACACGTTATGAAAATCAGACTGTATAAAACTATTTCCTTCTTTTTTTTTATAATTGATGATGTTTCCTGGCAAAGAATAATTTCCCCATTCCGTGTTCTGGTGAAGCTTAAAGCATACAAATTGCTTGCCAAAGCTGCAAATCAAACTTATCTTTGACACATATGAGCGTACCGTAATCCCCTTGAAACTTGTTCAGCTGTTTTCCGATAATTCCATTGGCAGAAATTTTCTCCGTCGTTAACCATTTCAGTTTGTCCGTAACTATGCTCTGGATAGTGCGGTTGTATCTAAACGAGGTAATATTTAATACCGTTGAAAACAGACGTGAAAGAAAGGCTTAAGAGCATACATTGTTTTATAGCTATTCTCAAAGTGCTAAAAGGGTCTGAAGTCTGAATAATTTTACTATCTTTCTTAGACACTGATTTGACAATTTACAGAACTTTCGTATATATCTGGTGAAAGGAATTTTACAGTACATATGTATAAAACATTTTAAAATATTTATTCATTTGAACATTATGCTTAACCGGAACCGGAAGTAAACACCCTTTGTCACCAGTATAATTTTATGAGGTTATATTTTGTTGGTAGCTTTTTTCGTACTTAATCCCTTAAATTTTGAATGGACTGTACCAAATTAATAGGATGGCAAATCATTTCAACAAATTCTGCAGATTAAAAGTTAAACACAATCCCAGTCCTACTATGCAAAAGATAATTATAAATGTGTACCTCATAATGACAATATAAACTCCATACAACAGAAGCATAATGACTGATTCATACCACGTGACCTTGGAGTCAGCTACCACCTGAAATATAATTTACAATCTAAGATATTTAAACAACATAGACTGGCTTGGTGGAGCAATTAAGTTATATACTGTTGAAATAAAGAGTATACAATTCAGTCATTGAGGTGGTAAATTTCTGAGTTACAGAAAAATGTCATTTTGTGACATTTTATTAAATACAATACAAGAACAACAAGATGTAAGATATTATTTCCGTACTATTATGAATAGTAATTCGATTATTTTAATACCATATGTACATATCATATACCAGTGACCAGTTATTGATATGCAATTTGTTAAAATATTCATGCCAGATGACTGATAAATATACAAAAAAAGTTGAAGATTCAACAGTAGCTTGCTTTTTAATGAATAACTCTTATTCATTATACTTTCCTTACAGAAATTTAGCAACCACTAAAATACCCAACAGTAATGAATGATGCATTCGTTTATGAAACGTACATTACATATAAACAATCCAATCCGTTAAATTGATATCCCTTGTCGAAATGAATAGTAACTACATATAGAGTTACTGTTCTTATGCAGTGTATCATTTTTTATGATATTTTTAGGTTGATCCCTAAACTATTTTTAATCTATGTCTGCCTCCCCCTAAACAAAAGAGACGTACCACTTCGTCAGGGATGCCGGACAAACGGAAAGACTGAAAGATAGAAGGCCCCAAAACGAAAATGCGGACGGACAGATACACAGCCAGATAGACAATGGAATATCCCTCCGTTTTGGACGGGGACCATAATCATAATAAAGTCCGGCAATACTTCAAACAAGAGCAAAATTTATTGTTACTTACCAGAATAAGAACTATAATAGCCAAAGCATAGAATATTGAATCTCTGCAAAGCGGCCACCAAGACAAGGATATCGCCTAAATGCAAATACAAGAAAAAAATGACAATGAATGTTAAAAATTGAAGGACAAAGTGAATCTTATATAAGAAATGAATACAAATAAATATTAAGTACACTGTTATGGGATTTAGCAAAACAAATACAATGCTGCACTTGTCTTTAACAACAAAGTTGTTTTCTTTCTTTGAGAACCACGTGACGCTAAATTATGATATTTATACGACAATTGATACAAACAATCAAATCTGTTCAACATTATAATCTGCAGCTGTTCAAATATTGTTTAACTTGCTTGTCTTATTGTTTATTTTGAAATATATAATCATATTTTGTCCATTGTACAAAATGTATATGATTTTTAAATGATTTTGAACTATACTTGTTTGTTTGATTTTTTCAAAATATTTTTTCTTATTCTGACATGTTTTCTAACATTCTAAAATGTTTATACAGTCGCCTCAAAATGCGTGGTTTTGGTCTTAAATTAGTCTATTGCTATCTGTATAATTCTAATTAAAAACTGTCACAGGTTGAAAAGCAACAACAACAAAAAAAACAAAAAAACAACCTAACGATAAAGTTGAAGATAATGGCACATATTTGCCATATTGAACATTATTTCTATTTTTGCTACTTTTTCCTTATGAAATTACCTGCTTTATAAGAACTCCGCATATCCCAATAACAAAAAGGATATTGAAAACGGCTGAGCCAACAATGGTACCTATTCCAACATCTCCTTTTGTAATGAACACACCTTGAAAGGTTTAAAAAATGCAATATTTTATTATAAAATCGAAGTTTGTTGTTAACATAGATTAGGATAACGTTATTACATAATTCTATCGAGCTTAAATAAAAAATGTGTAAACCAATTATACTATTAACATTCAATTACTTATAGAATAGTTCATATGTGTTATATTACGTTTAGACAGCAAGGAATGCAGTAATGGACAAAATAAAGTTTTGAAGGGACTCCGTGGAGGTTTTTTGATATGATGGGACTAATGAAGTAATTTCTCGAAATAAAAAATCATTTGATGTAGGTCGAGAACAATAAAATGTGTGCAAAATTTCAGATCATTCGCTCACCCCGTTTTATTTTTATTCAGAATAAGTATTCTAGTAAAAAAAAATACCCAAAAAATCTTTATGAATCTTACTTAATATAAAAACATCAAATGAAATTGATCATAATTTTTTGTTTAAAAGTATTAATATACCAAATATAATTATTATACCAATAATCGCAGTAAACAGTTCAGGTGCGGAGCTCCCAGCTGCCATAAAAGTTGCTCCTGCCACATCCTCACTAAAACCAAGTCGCTGAAATAGATAGGTAAGTTTCTGTTTAAGGAAGATCCGTCAAGAACAACAATTAGGAGTGTACCTTTCAAACAAGTATGGCATCTCTTTTTAAAAGCAATAATGTTATTCAAAGAACTCATATAATTACAAAGGTAGAAAAATGAAGGAATTGTGAATCATCAGTTACTTTTATCGAGGTGATGAAAATAATATGTGCATTCTCATAAAGGTAGATGAAGTTGGTCCCAAACATACGTTAACAACATTTCTGAATAGTTAAAGATATCTGTACTTCAAGCAATACTAACAATGAACAATGGCAGCAATATTCATGGAAGCATTATAATAAAATCAAAATTTCTTTTAATTTATCTTACGATAATTATCAAATTTAACAATGGTTGTACGTCATTGCTCAATTTTAAGATAATGATTCTTTCCTCCTCAGAAACTGTCTAATATATAACACACCGAGTTTATAATTTTAACTATGGACATTCACTTCACGAACAAAACACTATACTATAACTTTACTTATGATTACAAAATCTGGACAGACAAAAAGCTATGTATGTTTTGATTATACACGTAGAAACATACCTCACACACTTTGTCAAGAGATGCTACAAAATAATCATCACATACTATAGACAGTGCAACAAACATGTAAATCACAAGAAGAATGTGCAGGATGATAGCACCATGGGATCGTTGACTGCTTGTGAAAAGATCTGGCGGGAACTCGTGGAATGCTAGAACAAAATAAGAAAAAAAAAAACAATATATAAATATATGAAATCATTGTCTTTTTTCAGTTTATAGTAATACATCTTGAATGTAAAATTTTTGTCCAAAGTAACTCTATACATTACATAGAGGATATTGAATGAGGAGTTGAATAGAATTATATTATGCGAGCCTTACTATACTATGCGAGTTCAATAAATTCAGTAATGACCCTACACGAATATAACATTCTTTTTATCATTTACCCAAAATAAAGAATGTTTGCAGTGAAAAAGAGTCACTTTTAACTTTCCGACGCACCCATTGTGTAAAGCTAACATTTAGCACGTCTTTATATTATAGTTTATAACGTAAATGACGTCACATCACGTCAAAATATAATTATGCAATACCATTTTACGGAGTCACAACATCGGCACAGTTTTTGTGATAAAACTTATTTTTTCCAACAAATGTTTTGTTTGCAATAAACTTTGATTTGAAAACTGCATCACTGATTAAAGTTTGTAAAACAGTTATGTAAAAACGCGAAAAGGTGATACAAATGATACTAAATGTACAATTACATGTCATGTTAGTATGTAAGAATGAATCATAAGATTTTTGTTTAGATTTTACAGAATCCAATTATATTTTGTGGCAAAAAAGATCTGTTGAAAATCGATCGAAATAATTGGAAATAAATCGGACTAGCTGTTGAAGCAACGCAATACAAACATCCATCAATTGTGGGGGAAAAAACTTAACCAATTATTGAAAACTATGATTATTTGATTATAAACCAATAATCTTTTTCTCGCGATCTAAATGGGGGGCAAATATGATAATTGCTTTTCCTTCTCCGTGGGAATGGGCCCTTTGGGCAAATAATTGCATACAACTGTTCACAGTAATTATTGGAAACCGATTAGAAATGAAATAAGCAAACAAATGCACGTTTAATTGTTTGTCTCTTTTGTTTACTTAAAATGCTGTCTACATCAATCGCAATTTTATAGGTCTTTAAAATCGATTGTCTGTGGTTTAATTTGCGGTCGTGCAAACATATTTTTAAATTGCAAAGTACAAAGCGTTTGTTGTCCGGATTTTAATACAGTTTCATTCGTGATAAAACTTAATTGTAAAAATAAGCATGCTTTATTTGTGTTGTTTACCGTTTTCTTACATACCTCAACAACAAGAAACCCACCATAGAAGTTATCCTCTGTTAAACATTTAGAACTTCAAACAAATGAAATTGGAATATGTTTCCATCAGTATTTGTTACAAAGCGAAAATATTTATGATTTTTATATTATACTTTATAAGCGCCTTTACTGATAAAGTAATAATCATAGCAATTAACACATGATTCAGATGTATACATTTTTAACAAACTGAAGGCATAGAAAGAAAATATAACACAGAAACTTTTCTTAAATTTTTTCATAATTTAAGGGAATTGTAATTGTAACAAATTGATGAAAATAGTTGGTGATAAACTATCCTACACTTTGAGTTATCTGACCCTTAAACTGATTGCATTACTCTTTTGAGATTGAAGACATTTTATTTATCAAACTAGTATTCATTTACATAGACATATGTTAAGGTAGAATATGTTCTCAAAATAGCATCTTTATTTACAGTCTATCTCATTATATGTACAAAAGACTGATTTATTTTATTAAGAGCGAGAGTGCAAGTCAAATCAAGTCCAGTCGAGCAAAATTAAGATCGTTATGACAAACCTCATTGATTTTCTTTTAGACTTCTTTATTTACTCATACTATTTATATCAAATGATTATATTCACAAACTGATTTGTAGAAAAGGAACAATACCAACCCATTTTACAAAACAACTTATTGTCTAGTTATAAATGTAAGTAAAAGTAAGCAAAGAACATGATATATTTATACATTATAAAATCAAATGCAAGTATACATAAATATAAGATAATAGTATCCGCAGAAAATACGCAATAAAAATGACGCAGTTATCTTACTTTAACAGAAATCTCAGGAATGGTGAAGTTTAAAGAATCCTCATCGCGAGAGCTTTATGCAAGGTAATAATGTTTCTTACAAGAAGGTGTCGTGTTTTCTATTCTGTTTTCTTTTTTGTTTGTAAAAATGACATAAAGATATCACATGAAAAAGCACATCGATGCCTTGTTTCAAACGTTCACGTTTTATTTAATGCATATTCTCTATTTGTATACAAGCGCAAATACTTCTCTATTACAATAGATACAATTAGCCAAGCATAGCAAAGAACAAAACGAAGTTAATATACTTGAACTTCATACTATGAATAAAATTATGACATCTTGGGAGACATTTTATTCCTACTTGTATTGAAAACAATTTCATGTAAATTTGATTTCTAAAAGTCATGAATTGTCTTCTCAAACCGTTAAAATATAGATATGTCTGAAACTCTTATTGCTATTTTCATTTTGGTAAAGAAAAAAGTGCAATGAAACTCACTTATTATAGAAAAGATGAATAGCTGCATAAAGGTGTATGATTTCTATTAAGAACAATTGAAATTGTATAGACAACAGTGATAAAATAAACATTCATATTCTGACTAAGCGCTGAGAAATTGTGGAATACCAATTGATTTTTTAAAGGTTATCTGTTGGTGAATACTGATCGGTTCCAGAATGATCTGGTTTGGAATGAAAAAAGAACAGACAGGTTTAAGTTCCAAAGGTTGTGTAATGCATGCTTTATACTTAAAGTTTTACAGGTTTCTTTCACATGATTAATTAACAGTATGAAATTTAATGCTCACCAAAAGAGATAAATTTTCCATGCATACAAGACTGTTATGATGTCTAAGATTGAGGTGCTACTCCACTACATAATACATGCAAATTTATATTTTATTAAAGAACTGATAATGTTAAGCTTTTCAAATTAAGCAAATCTGTACATTTAGCAATATATCGATTAATTTCAAGCTAAAACTAACAATATTAAAAATGTACTGTTTAAAACAGTGTTTTGTTTTCTATGACTTAGCAAAAGGAAAAGTTATTTGCAAAAGCTCGTTTTGTATTACATGTATAATTATACCTGGGACTGAGTAAAAGTAATGTTTGCACAAAAATAGAACGATAATCATGAATCTTTCTTTTTAAGAATAAATGATTGACGTCATTAAACAATTATCTGTCTGTCACAATGATAAATTAAATTCCATATCCATAACAAATAATTGTGGTTTTAAAAACAATATTTTGTTTGTGCGTGGCGTTTATGTTGTATTGAAAACGTCAAACAATTGGTTTCTATTTAGCTTCATGCTTCAACTTGATCAAAGACATAGAATAGATGATTATGTAAATCGATTGTTTGACTAAACTGATCAGTATGGTTTTGAAAGATGAGTCATATTAGTAGAGACTTTACCTTATTAATATTCTTTCAGATAGAAATAGCAGGTAAGGTTTAACGCGTTCATTTTAATTGATTTTAAAACCGTTCCTATGAATATAGATGTATGTTTCTTAACATTATTAATTATATACGACATCTAAACATAATTAGCTGTATGTTAAGGTGTTCCGATATAGAAGTACAAACAAAACATTACGATCAAATAATTTCTATATTTACAGTGTGGTTGTCAATAGAAAATTTTAAAAAGTTCTCTTTTTCTGTATTAATGATGGAGTTCAGAATGTTAGTAGACTTGCATTGTTAAGTTTTACATGCATATCTGTTTGTTTCTGAAAGTGTTTTGCATCTAAAAAAAATTTATTCCTTTCACTGCGCAGTTGTAACTTATGATTCATGTTTTTATTTTATTTTATAGCAAACCCCCCGAGGGGGAATCATTCCCTTTTTTTCTTGACTAATTATGTGATAAGTCATTGAATGGCAGATTCAATTCCCTTGATCAATGTACGGGTGCGCTAGATCCAATCTAGATAAGGGTTATTTTTCGGTTTTATGAATGTTTTATCTAGCAATAAATTGGCGGGAAACAATGTTATATACTCTTCAGTTGATTTCACATCAATTAGTGAGGTATTGGAAATGCAGAAATCAATACCATTAAGCTGATGTGACGTAGTAATACTACTCATATCACAGATTTATTCTCAAGGGATTAGAAAGAACAAAGACCCATCAACAGAAATAGAAATTACATCAATAAAAAATATCCTTTGCTAAAACTCAAACCTCCCATGATTTTTCTTGTCTGAAGTGCTTTGTTAACAAAACAGAAGGGGAAATAGGTGAAAATCCCTATATATAGTATACGAACTCAAAAATCCTTATAAAATATTATACTCGCTGACATTATAACCAAGTTAATTACAAAAAATGATGGATTAGGGTTTCACAACAGAAGGTTATTTGGTAAGACAATATGTTTTAAGTTCATTATATAATGTTTACCTTTTTTCTCTTTATACTATTTCAATATTTTAGCTTGATCACAGTCGTGGAACATCATCGTTTGGTTTAAACCGGCATATTTAGGCTTTTTCTCATTCTATTTTGCCACGTTTAGAAAAGGTTTTAAATGAAATATTGAACAGTCTGACATATCATGCCAATTTGTATCAAAATCAAACTGTACATGTTCTCGCTTTAAAATGAAATATTTGTTGCTGTTTTATATAAAAGTTACACCGCGATTTTCTATCCTTAAACAGCTCATTTGCCTTTTTTATAATTATTTTAAACACGAGCAGGCACCTGAGTATAAGTTAACTAAATGGATAGCTTTTTAACATGAAATAATCTAAAGTCCTTGACTGGATTCCAGACCACAGTGGTGAGGGGAAAATGATTTGAAAAATCGGTGACCATAAACACTTTGCTGCTAACTCTGAAACTGTAACTCTTCCAAATGGTAAGAACTGCTAAATAAAGTCATGTCTGATGCTTTTTTGTCATCACTTCTTTTCTGCAAATATGCATCTAAAGTTTATGATAACCCTAACAAAAGTAACAAAGAGACAATATATTTCTATGGAACTGTTATATGCCATGGCAACAGACAGTGCTAGCGTTCAATACTACTTCCAATGTAATTTGATACCTTCAACTTTGTAGCAATATGTTTCAGATATTGTTGTTTTTATTGAAATGTTACGTGTTTTGTATAATCAATATCATTGTCCAACATGAGTAAAAATGCTTCAGATAATTAAGTTACATACAAAATGATTCAACTTATGTGACATAATTTCTTTGATAATATTCTAAATTTTTGCACCGTAAACATTTTATCTATATAATTATTATAACAGGCTTAAAAAATAAGCGAACTTATATCTAAAAAAGATAAACTTTCAGAATATAATTATGAATACAATTATTGCAAATTATCAAATTGATACAAATTTTATATTACTACAAGATGTTTAAAAAAGAATCATGGTTCTTGTTTTTATTTAAATCGTTGAACGTGAACAAGAATGGTCCGCTTTTAAAATCAATGAATGTAATTTTGTTTTTATAGAATGTGTCTGTCTTGTCTGATGCAAATCTAATTTTCTCTAAAATTAGAACCATGTTGCTCAACAACTCTCTAGCGTAAATAGAATAATTTTGCCTCTGGAAACATTGCTATCACTATTTTTGGTATTATTGGCACAAATAAGTTATTTCTGTAGCTAACATCATGTAAACATGAATCATTAATACTATAAAACAAAATACGTTTGGGAAGCAGGAAACAATGAGAATCTTCATTCGAGTGAGTGATGATTTTCTGTTATCGATTAAGATAAAATGATTTGAACAATTTGACAGAAAACCATGTCTTGTATTTTAGAGTAAAATGGCTAGTTCCTGACAAAATTTAGTCATTTTTAAACAGTTGTTATCGGGACATTACGAAATCGTGTTTGGCATGCAATGATGACATTTGTTTTGATTAGGACTTTCATGCACATAATTGTCAAGGCTCTTCTTCTTCTTCCAATACTGTACATAAATCACTCTGGTGCATTGACGTACAGGGTGAGAAATGACACATATACATATCATTGATATTGCTTCTTGCACAGTATCCACGAATTGCGCCCACTCTTCCAGATATAAACTACAGATACACATCGGACGTAATGACAATGACTTAGTTTTCATTTTGAATATGTATATTTCATTTTAAATGTTGTTTATAAAGTTTTTGTCTACATTTTAATTAGAACAAACGTTTTACCTGGCTGTGTACAAAATTCTTCCTCTAGAGCCGTGGTAGCATTAATGTAGTATGACGTCGTATTGGCGAATATAGCTGACAATGTAGACAATGTTTTACTGGTATTAAATGTAGACTTTACAATGTTATTGTCTGTGGCAGATATAGACTGTATTGAACTTTTCAATATTGAGCCGATGGTTGTAGAAGTTAACAGTTCCATGAATGTATCCTTGTTTACAAACGGCCTATCAGATGTGTTACTGGCCATCCTTTTCTGAAAATACAAAGGGTATGTGTAATGAATAAAAATGCATTATAATTTAAAGTAAGATTTGTTGAATTTTATTTAATTGTCTCTGGAAAAGTCTACATAATAAAGAACAACAAAGAAATAGACACAAAATAATTAGATTTTTGTGCAATTCGTAGTCCAATTGGAGTGAAATGTGTTTTCATTTTTGGGTCATTTGCACGATAAAAATGATTTTTCTGGGAAAACGGAGTGAGGCAATTTTTATTTGAAACATTACACACAAGTTATTGGTCCAGACCTACATCAAACTGAATACAAATCTCAAAGCGGTCATGTAAAAAAACAACAGTTGAGTCCCTTTAAAGCAAAGCGTGTATATTTGAATTAACTCATAACATTTTCACCACCAAACTTTTAGTGTTACTAGTACTCAAAGTGTAACACGAAGTTAAAAAATATCAACAATTTACATTCATTTGATGAACGCTTTGCAAACATGGCGTCATTTAGTTCATTCTAAGAGATCGGACATAACTCCCACTACCGTGATTAAATTATCATCTCGTTTTTTGCGTGTTTTTTTTAAAAAAAATTTAAAGACATTATGTCTTTGATAAAATCTTTGGCGTCACCACAAACTGAAATTTTGAAAGTGCGAAAACAACGAGATTACTCTCAGTTGTAAGCGCTGTCATGGCCAAATTCATTTCACTCTCTTAATGCCAACATCACAGTGGTTTCGGATGAAGACACAAATAAACTTTATCAATTAGATTGATAAAACAACACGTTTCCTTCCATTGTCTTACTAAAACACATTTTTCGCAATATGATGAAACATATTAGTTTACAGAATTAAAAAAAAATGTTTAAAGAATATATTTAGAAGTTGAATCGTAGCCTCTAGACTATGCCTGAAAATCTTTATATAGATTTGTTGGCTCAAAATTACCACTTGCTCATAATTACCGCTATACGATAAAGCATAAAAATCTAATAATGTATTCTTTATGTATTAAAAAATACATTGAAATATCTGATATTGATGTAAAGGTTTTTGGTGAAGTAAACATATGACTTCATTTCCGTTTATACAACAACTTTTTTTCGCTTAAGGAATTGTAATTAAAGAGTGAAATGAAAAGATCTGAGAGTTTGCACCAAATCAGATTATTCACCAATTAATGCAGAGCGAGTAATTGTTTACCGCCAGCTTTATGTTTGCTCACACATCAAACAATTGGATTCAATCGATCCACAGACAGATGGGAAATTAACGATTATCTAGCTATCAGTAATTAATCATTTATTACACTATTACTCACGTTTTCAAAGTTTGTTGTTTCTATGTTACGTGTACATTTTGGGCCGAAGCTGTAAATGATATAGACTAAATGGCTCGTGGGTCAATGGGCTATGCTCCAAGTTGGGGAGTTTCTTTAATTTGAATAGACTAATACATTTCCTTACTTTTATATTTGGAACTGAAAAGCCGTGTTGTGCTACGCCATAGCAATGTGATGTTGCTGTTTAATTTCCGTATCTAAATTTAGGTTCTAGCCCAACGAAAATTGGTTTATAGAACTGTGTTTTAAATGTTTTACAGAATATATTACAATAAATGTCGATATAACTATGCAGACAACAATACAGTCAGGTTCAAATCACTATTTTGATTTAATATTTCGAGCTCTGCTTAAACAGGAGCCGGGGCGGACATGGATATGAATGTTATCTTGATAACACAACTGTACATGAACAAACTGAATCAAAACAAAAACTGCAAAATCATAGACGTTTTGAGCGACCCTTAATGCTCCAACCTTTACTAATTTGTGAATTCACAGATCTACAGATAAAAAACTTTTTATATTTTGGTTCCAGCATAAAAAATGATAAAATATGTTATGAGATACATATTTTCAGACGCCAACAACCTCAAACAATCGGTCACTGAGACCCTCGGTCCTATTTTCTATTCATTATGTCATTATGTTTTAGTAAACATAGGGTAACGTTAAGTCTGCAATTTTTTTTATGAATAATCCTTTTTTTCTATTTATTTCATTATTTATGATTCACTGTCAATGGTTGATTATTTTTATACTTTTTCTAAACGTGATATTTCTAAAGGTGTTAGTGAATAGACTTTTATTCGATAATTAAAAGTAAAAGAAATATTAAGTCAAAAACTGTTATAATACATACACACAGATTTACATAAAAGCACAGCAATAAAATTTATACACTCCCGTAAAATAATGAAAAAAATCTGTTCATAAAATGTTGGACAAGAAACAATGAGTACAAAGTCCAGCAGGGGAAAGCGACATTTAAGATACTTAAGTTAATGACTGAAATTACCAAAACCATTTAAAACAACTTAAAAAACTAACAAGAAAGCTTTCAAATTTCAATAGTGTGTGTTGTCTAGAAAACGTTAACTTTTTGTATAATTGACTTAATTTAAGTATTGCGTTCATATTCTTTATAAACGAATACATGTACGTATCAACAAATTGACTAATTTTGTGAATGCGTATTTCCTATTACAATTAATTTCAGATATTTTATTACATAAAATACATTGAAGAATGACTAAAAAGTATACACCCACCTTAATGAATCCCAGAAAGTCATATATTCATTAAAACAATATTCCCTTGTGGTGACTGTTTAAGAATTCAAGAATTTCAAACCTATCCTATATCATGTTTTGCAACAAGTTGGCGCTTATCTGAACCGGAATGATAGAGGCTGACATTTTAAGAGACTACAATCGATACAAATCAATGCTATAGTTCTACTGTTGCTCTTTTCCAATGGCGCTCTTTCTCCTAAAGATTAGAATAGTTATATTAAATCAACTGAATGAATCGGCACGGAAATGTGGAAGGCTTATCGTCATTAAGAAATAATTATTTCTAATGACATAACGATTCGTTTCTAATGACACGTATCTTTAACTGTGATGGTAGTTAACCATGAAGAGATACATATTACTGTGTAAAATAAAAGGGAAACAAATATTAAAATAATGACTTTTTACTTCATCCGGCAGAATTGAAAATGTTGCAGGCTCGCTGTTATTCGCTACGTAGCAGCGCCTTAAGAAAAATGCAGTGTGTAAATACGAAAATCATATAAGCACCTGTTAAACAGCGACTTGAAATTCTAAAATAACGGGAAAATGTTTGTTTACTGTATTAAAAAATACATTCAGAAATTTTCTATTTTCATCTATAGAAAATATATACACAATTTTGCCATAAGGTAAAATTCATGAATATAGTCACTATTCGACATTTGTTATTCGTACCATAATATAATCAATAAAATAATTGGCGATACTTCATATTCATAAAATTAATCAATTTATCTTAAGATATACTGATTCGTTATTAAAAGACATTTGTACTTGCCATTAGTTTTAAAAATGTATGTCATGACTTCTGAAAGAGATTTTATCATGTAAATATTGACATGAAAAACAACAAGAAAAAAACAAAACAAAGCGACATGTTTGTAAACAATGTTACCATCCAAGATTAAAGGAATGTTATCGTCGAACTTCAATCATGTTCAATTTCGTTCGTAAATTTCCTCTTCTTTTTCACATCAGAAAAATCCCTACATAGTATTTGTAAGGGTATCCGAACATTAAAATTTGTCAATGAATACTCAAAGTCATTAATACACGGTGTCAATCAAACAAAAGCATTTTTTCTGATAAACACTATAATTTTGTCATTTAGGGGAAGATAAATTGATTGAAAATGTTTATTAGATTAATAATGAATCATTATTAAGCTTCAGCTTTGATTACTTGACAATTTAATTGTTCTGGAACTTATAAGATATTATTCCATGCAAGCAGGTTTACAAACGTTCTCATGTAATAAGATAACCGCTGACGGAAAATGATTGCATAATTATAGCTATGTGTTTGATTGTTTGACTGTCCTCTCCACTGGGTGAGACATTTGCCTGGACATTTCTTTTAACAATAATTTATTGATCTCCTGACTATATGATTCATGCTTTTTAATTCATACATCAGTCTGAACACGACCGGTATAATAATAAGTAACCATATTACTATTTTGTTCTGCAAATACTCACCATCATACAAGGAACAACCAAGATCATTTTTAAAAGAAATATATAATATAATGTAGGCCTAGACAAATGTTATTCTAATCTGATAAAAATGATTTTGCTAAACCTTCCTAGTATTCTACTGCATACTTTATTTTTTTCTTGGACAGATCAGGAGATTAAATGCTTCCAAACGTGTTAAAATCTACTGGTGCTCTGTCAGTATTGCACCATAGGGAAATGTTGCACTCTGAAGCACTCGATAATGGATTCGGTATTCATTTCAGATCCTGAACTACCACAATGGCCTGAAATGTGTCCAAAGCTTTATAAATATTTTTGAATGATTTTTGCTACAGACAGTGCCTTTCATGTTTAGCAAGGCTTTTAGTTAGTGTTTAGAATGTCTAAATTAAATCCTAATTAGTGCCCCAAAAGTGAAGACTTTTGATTATTCTTACTTCAAATAATATCAAACAATGCCAGATAATGGAACGTTATGTGTGTACGAAACAAAAATACTTTACCACTTTGTCTATTAATACTCGTATATGAATAGCTCTATTTGTTGTTGTAAAGTTGAATTTAGTCAATCGAATTTCAATTGTAATAATATACCTCAGATTTTACATTCTGTGTAAAAAAGTTAAAAAAAGTAAAAAAGAAAATTCCATTAAATGTGTGTATAACAAGAACTAAACTGCAACTGTGGGTGGCAGGATTAACAGTTTACTAGGGTCAATAATCTTCTTCATTTTTTCTTGACTATAGAAATGAAATAAAAGATATATCGACTGAAAACGTGTTTTCTGTTTAAATGATATAAACCAAGTTTTAAAGTTGTAAACAATAATAAAATAACATTTAGTATCTCTTTTTAATTGCTTTTAAAGATCCAGCACAAAAACGTTTAGACATTGTTTGTTTGTTTGATTTGTTTTTACGTCACACCGACACAGTATAGGTCATATGGCGACGTTCCAGCTTTACTGATGGAGGAGTTTCTAAGGTCGCCCTCCGTGCATTATTTCAGGTATGAACGGGCACCTGAGTAGAATCACAGGCGTTCCGTAAGATAGCTGGATAGCTTCCTCACATGAAAGAATTCAAAGTCCCTGTCGGGATTCGAACCCACAGCGGTGAGGAGCTAGTGGTTTGAAGTTTACGACCTTATCAACTCGGCCACGGACACCCCAACGTTTGGACATAACCGTCTAAATGCTATCACTATGTATAACTTAACATTAGATTGAAAAAGGGAGAAAATTATATGTTTATCACCATCCAATCTATAAATATGTTATATCGTTTTCAAATAAAAGGTAAGACTTCAAAACTGCTCATGAATAATAATGTAATTTCCTTCCGGAACGTGCGTTTACTAGAGATACTAGAAAGACAAAAAGACCATCTTGTTCGTTGTAAGAAAAGACAAGATTATTCGGTCACTTCTCAGCTTTTCTAATCGTGATAATAGTTCAAGGTATTTCAGAAAGCATCATAAAAACATGAACATGAAGAATTCATCTAAATACTCTCTTTGGTTTCACATTCCAACATTTTAAATTTAGCATAAGTATATCCTAAACAAAGCTCGTTTTTGACATGCTATATATGACGGTAGTGTGCTATATATTCATAAATCCCTACTCCGTTCAAAGAAGTAAAATAACCGCTACTTCTAAAATTGGTTTTATGTCAATAATTGAAATGTCATGCTTTAAAGATATTGAACATATCCATTAGTTTAATAAATATTCGACTCAATAAATACTTACATGAAAAACCACGTAATGGGTTTCTTTAAGTTGAACTTGTTTACATTTAAAATGATAATGTATAATTGTTCATTGTACCAAATTAACAATTTCGTTAACATAAATCCTAAAAAACATGATTTTAGTGAGAATATATTAATTTCAATCATTGTGGTAAAGTATTTGAAAAAAATCGCACCCACAATTAAATCTACATTTACCTTTTAAGCAAGAATTCCTGGTAGCAAAAAATCCTTTTCGAAGAATGTTTTAGAATTAAAGTATTCCTAACTTATCAAATGTCATGGTTTAAATCAAGAAACATGCGAACTTTAGACAATTCACCAAGAAGCAACAAGTTAATGCGTGTGAGTCGGAATGATAGAGGCTGACATTTTAAGAGACTACAATCAATACAAATCAATGCTATTTTCTACCGTTGCTGTTTTCCAATAACGTATTTTCCCCCAAAAGAGAAATTTCAAAATCGTCATATCTAATCAAATACTGGATGGATTCAAGAGGAAATGTTGAAGACTTATTATAACCGAGAACATGAAAATCATCTAAATGACATAATGATCCATTTCTAATTGTAAGATGGCAGCTAATTATAGAGTGTAGTACATGTGCACCTGAAAGCAGTCGTGTTTTCTTGCAAACGTACAATTTGAATTTTGTCGTACTGCGACGATATCCTTGCATCACATTTACTAACTCTTAACCGTAAAATATCCAGTATTAAAAGGGATAACAATAGAAGTATCATATATATAAGTTTATTAATAATATACATACTACCAGGTAAAAAAAATGATCGTTTTGTAAAAATGCATTTAAATTACATTTTAACATCATATCGATTTTAATAAGTTAGCTATTAATTATGTATTAATGTTGGAACATATATTAATTAGTTGCCAATATTATTTTTTATTCCGTTGGCATAACATTTGTTCATATGTCATCATTCAGTTAGAGTATATCCTATAGATGAAAGATAGATGGAGTTCTGTTATGAATATATTTAAAAGTAACACACCTATAAAGTGAATAAAAAGTACAAGATTACAACTCTCTCCATGTAAGAGTAAACTTACGTATCAACATATATTACATAATGGGATAGTCACAGTGAGTGTTTTAAGATATATCAACATGAATTATGCACACAACTTTCAAGTCCATGTGGTTGCTTCAGAATATTTCAAGAAAAAGAAAAATCCACATATCTCAAGTACGTATTGCTATCTGCATGTTTGGCATAGCCTAGGAAAAATCAGTCAAACAAAATTGTACTCTGAAGGTCACATTATAAAAAAGGAGAAAGTATATGTATAATCAATGAAAAGAATCCATTTCGAATGAATTCGAAAGAAAAACATCTTAACTACATAAAATGTCAGCTTCTCTCCAGTGTATTCTTTAACAGAACATTGTTGGTATTAAAGTTTCGTTTTACAAAGTACTGTCAAAATGGAAGCTTTACAAGTTTTGAGAAGGTTAGAAAAATATAATTTTATATTCTTGTAACAGCTCTAGCTGCACACGATTAACATTAAGTTTTCATTCTAAATGAATAAATAAATCCGATCTACATGTTCAAAATAAAGAAATTATATAGGGGCTTCAACGGCCGAATTGACAATTTTGTTGAGTTCAAACCATTTGCCTCTACCTTGTTGATTCGGATGCAGCAAGTGCCTGAAATAGTTCGATAAAAATGTTGTTTTATTTGATATCCATTTGAGATCAAAATGTAACTTAATTTCCGTGTTATAATGGAAACAGTATTAAGAAAGGAATTGAAAGATTGGATATTTTAACAAAATACATGTATTTGATTCTTAATTAGTAAGTGAAAGGGATAATTATGATCTACAGTCGGATTTCCGGGGTTTCCATTACAAAAAGTGCCAATTCGATTCAACAAATGTACTGACAAATGGGAAATCAAATAATATTTTGATTCACATAATTACGTATATACAGTTACCAGTAATCTATGGCTTAGGTAAATTATTCCTCAACTAAGTATGTATTAAAATATATTTTGTAAGTTTCACTGTGAAATAATCGCAATATGACTGAATGCTATCGTAACTATATTTGTACGCCGATGAATTGGAAACAATTATAAAAATAAAAGAAATATCAAATTCGTCAATAGAACAATTTGACATTAGTAAAATATATATGATTACCGAAAGTACATTTGAGCCGTGTCCCGAAAAATTCAACGTAATGCGTTTGCAACCAGCATTGATCTAGACCAGCCTGCGCATCGGCGCAGTCTGATCAGGATCCATGCTGTTCCCTTACAAACCCTAGTACAAGAAAGGAAACTGATAGCGAACATGATCCTGGTCAGACTGCGCAGATGCGCAGGCAGGTCTGGATCCATGCTGGTCGCAAACGCATAACGTTGGTTTTGTCGTGACATGGCTCACTTATGTTTGTACAGATTATGTCAAATTTTTACAAAGACCGAGAATTAATACAATTATAGATTTTGCCATATGAATGTGATAGTATTTTATTTTTAATTATCTCATCGAAGATTATTTTCTTGGCAGTTACAATTTAGCTACTTAAGGATTCTCCACTGAAGTCTAAATGCCTAAAATAATAAAATTTGACATCCTAACATATATTATTTGGAGCACTTAAAAAGCACTGGAAAAATGTCTACATAATAATTAAGGACAATAAAGAAATACCCCACTCCTCCCATAATAAATTAATAAATGTGCTATTCGTAGCCAAATTTGAGTGAAATGAATTTTCATATTTAAGTCATTTTGCACGATAAAATGATGGAAAAACGGGGTTAGGGAATGATCTGAAACATTGCACACAAGTAATGGGTCCAGACCTACATCACATGGAATAAAAATATCAGAACACTATTTCCTGTCATATTCAACAGAATAGTTGATGCCTTTTTACGTCAGGCGTGTACATTACTATAATATCATTAACTGATAACATTTTTTCACCACCAAAGTGATGGCGTACTCTAAGTATACAAAGTTAAAAAAGTATGAATTTCTAAAACATTTTGCATGAAAACTTTGTAAACATAAAGTCATTTTTATTCTTAGAGAACAAATATAACTGTAACTGCTGTGAATTAAATCATTATTTTGTAATTTTGAAATTTAATTGTTGACCATACTATGTTATTATAAATCATTAGTGTTACATATTTCTGTCTTTAAAATGGTTACAGAAATTATGTTTTTAATAAAATCTTCACAGAACCATCGCCACAAACAAAAATCACGAAAGAGCTAAAACAAAACGATTACTCTTACGTTAAAGTTTTTTCTATCCTATAGCTAAACTCATTTCGGATAAAGACACAAATAAATTCAATCAATTAGATTGATAAAACAGTATTTTTCCTTCCATTGTCTTACTAAAACACATTTATCGCAATATCGTAAAACATACTAAATGTAGTTTAAAGAGTTTAAATATATTTAATGCATATAATTAGAAGTTGAAACGAAGGCTCTAGACATCTCTGAAATTCTTGATATAGATTTATTTTGGCTTATAATTACCGCTACCAAGATTTTACCTAATATCATAACAAACTAATAATGTATTCTTTATGCATTAAATGATACATTGAAATATATGATATTGATATATATGTTTTTGGTGGAGTAAACATATGGCTTCATTTCCGTTTATACAATATCTTTTTTTTCTTTAGGAATTGTAATTAAAGAGTGAAAATCACATCACCATTATCAGATTCTTTACCAATTAATTCTATCGATCCACAGACAGCTGGAAAATGATTATCTAGCCATCAGTAATTAATCATTTATTACACTATTACTCACATTTTCAAAAAGAACATATGCTACGTGTACATTTTAGGTCGACGCTTATTAAGATATAGACTAAATATCTCATGGTTCAATTTGCTATTCCAACTTGGGAAGTTTCTTTAATTTGAATGACAAGTTGTATTATTTTACTTATACCTGTGACATTTCCTGTCTTTTAGATAAAACGTGTACCTAGAACTGAATTTCTTTAATGTGCTACGACGTTACAAAGTTATGCTATTATTTGATTTTCGCATTTTAATTTAAGTTTAAGCCCATTTGGTTAATTTGGAATCGGTTTATAGACTTATGTTTTGAACTTAGTCTAAATATATAAATATATATCAATACCAGATGATCTATCAACAAAACAGTAAAACGGTCTGGTTAAAATCTCTATTTTGTAATCAATTATCAATGTTTGAGTTATGCTTAAACCCGTGACAGAGGGATTGAGATGTCACCGGTATCTTGCATATTCATTATCAGGCTCAATCAAAGCAAAAACTGCAATATATAATAGACGTTTTGAGCAACTTTAATGTTCCAATGTTTACTCGTTTGTGAATGCACAGATCTTCAGACTGACAAAAGTTTTTATATTCTTATGTTTGCCAGCGAACGGTACATATTTTCCGACGTCAACATCCTTAATCAATCGGTCACGGAGACCATTACCCTATTTTTTAATCATTATGTTTTAGTAAAAAAGTGTAACGCGAATCATTTTTATAAACAGTTGATTTACTGATTTACTTTAAGGATTTATAGTTAGCCGATTTTCTAAAGTAATTGTGTATGATTTATTTCATACGGGCAAATAATCTAATGATTGAAATTAACTCAGCCATTTAACTTATGATAAACAAGATCAACAAGGAAAGGCAATCCCCACACGTTCCAGAAACAAGAACTAGTGGCAAGGAGGCCAGGATGACCCCCCCCCCTCCAAAAAAAAAAAAAAAAAAAAAAAAAAAGCAGGACAGGGCACAAGGCATAGCATTGGCATGCTAATCACTTAAATGATACATAAGAAGAAATAATAAGTAACCGATAAGGAATTCAAATAAAACAAATAAATGATTTATTAATAGGTCTAGAAAGTGAAAGGGCACAGGGGAAGGGGACAGGAGACCCGGGGAAGGCGATGGGGGTTAATTAAATAAACTAGGGTCTACTTACCGTAGACGAGAAAACAACAAGGGACACAAACAAAAGTGTCACCAAAACAGTATGAAACAACAAAGATATACATCTGAGGAACACAGAGGGGCGCCGCCTTGGAACGGTCAGCAGCATAAGTACTGCTGGTGAGTTTAAACCGGTTAATGGTGCACCAAACCTCACGCTTAGCCCTACCATTTTCCTATAAACGAGACAGTTTAAATAAAATGAATCCCCGCCAAGTGAAATTCTAACAGTTGTCATAGATACAAAAGTTTATATAGGTAAATCATCGAAATGCTCATGTAGAAACATAAAAATGAAAACCCAATGACCATAACAATTTTATAACAACAAAGAAGAAACCT